GGCAGCGTCCCAGAGAGAGTCTCACAGATTACATCATCAGATGGAGGAACCTCAGTTTGTAGTGCGAGCCACAGTTACAGGAGCAGCATGCAGTTGAGATCTTGCTAAAGAACATAGATGGCTCTATAGCACCCTACCTCAAGGGTTTCAGCATCAGGACCTTCCAGAAGCTACTCACGAAGGTCACCAGTTTGCAGGACAACATACCCGCTGCAGTCCCTCCTAAGGCTGAGAGTCAGCCCTCGCGCAGACCTCAGCGGCAGAAGTTTTCAGGGGCACCTCCTAGGAAAGGGGAAGTTCACAGTACTCAGGTACCATCAGATAAGGGCAAGAAGCCCTTAGTCAGTTCAGCACCACAGCAGCCACGACCAGCTAGTCAGCCACACTCAGTTAGCAGATCGTACTCAGTTGATCAGCCAGCAGGACAACCCAGGACCTCCCGCAGAACTCTAGAGAGTCAGCAGTACCTGCAGGAGAAGCTTAGGATGGAATATCCCTTTAAGAGGGAGAGTGTAAAGAAGATTTTCAAATTCCTTACTAAGAACAATATTTTGGTATTCCCTGATAGCAGTAGAGTGGAGGAGGAGGGTCAGACTGAGCACCCACTCCACTGTCCTTACCACAGACATATTGGGCATGTGTTAGAGGACTGCTATGTCTTCAAGGACAGAGTAGAGAGACTGATGATCATGGGACAGATACGCCTCCAGGATAGTGATCTAGTGCAGCGCAAGGGCAAGGTCTCTCAGACAGTTCAGCTAGTCTCCAGCCCCAGTGACAGCCAGAGTGATGCTCAGGGCACTACTAGTAGTTTACCCATGAGTTTTGAGGATGAGTGGCAGATAGCACTCTCCAAGAAGACCTAGCAGATGATTAAGTAAGCTGTATAGAGTTCAGAGGCAGTTGAGAGGAGGCCTCCCAAGGCCAAATTGACAGTTGCCACTCCAGCTTCTTTGTTAGCACTTGTTTTTCTTTTCTTTCTTCTGTTGTAGTGCCAGATGAGAACATTTTCCTTTGACTTCTATTTGTACTAGGGAGATATGTAAAAAAAAAAAAAAAATCAATCCCGCGGTCGGACAGAGAGACCGCGCGACGGGATCTGCTCCGTAGATCACGAATCCAATGGCCCAGCTCGAACCTACGCATGCAGGCGGCCAGACCGAACCCTTAGGGGTGTTTTGGCTTCGTTCTCCCAATATACTCGATGAAACTTTACGAAATTTTAAACACAGGTGGGATATGTGAAGAGTATCAATGGGGGATGTTTTATTCGAATTAATACGCGCTAATGACGACGCTAATTAACCCTAAGTGTTCTAACTAGGGTTTGAGATATACCTCAATCCACACGATGGATTCGGGAGATCTTGGGCTCGTTGGACTCGTGGGACCGGCACGAACAATCTTCCTCTTGACCCCGAGCTCAGAAGAGGCCTCGATCAGGCGGTAGGAGTCCCCAAAGTCCTTTGGCGTAGGTTTCGCCGGATTTCTCGCCGCCGGCGAGCCTAGGGCGCCGGGATTTGACGTGGGAAAGGTGGGGAAGGATTATGGGAGCGCTCTCACAAGATCTCAGAGCCTATGAAGGTCTAGGGAGAGAGCAAGAGTCAAAAGTCCTAAATTAGACTAAAATTCTCCTATTTAAACCTCTTAGCCCTATTATTGACGGCTTGGATTGAATCATGATCAAATTAGGAGGGAAATAGGTCGGTTTTGGCCATGGAATTGAATTCAAAACGAAGGGGCATTGATTGGGCATTAAATAGGCTCTTAAATCCACTTAATTGGGTGATTAAGGCCTATTTAGAGCCATGGTTGACCAAGTCCAGTTTTGCCTTGGTCAAACCAGTCAGGGGGGTCCCATGGGGATGAGGGATTGGCAAGGCCAAGGTCCAAGTGCATCTAAACTTGATTTGGCTCTAATATAGGCTAGTGGTCAACCTTTTGGTCCAACCGTGAGTTTGACCCACGGGTCCAAGGTCAGGCTCAACAGACTCGGCTCGACTCAACTGAACCGCATTGGGGAGAGGGTCTGGGGTTGGCTTTTGGTCAATTTGACCAAAAGTCAACCCTTTGACCACGGGTACGGCAAAATCGAGGTCAACATTAATACGGCTGTACCGAGAAAAATACGATTGTACCTGAGTTTTTCACTAGAACAAACTCGGTAAACTTTTGTATAACTCGGTAATTTCTCTCGGTTTAAGCTCGGTAAAACTCGGTTATGTTGGTCTTCAAAATGATGGTTTACCTCGTTATTGTTTGGTTTGCTCGCTATTTGCTGGTAGACTCGATTTTTTTTGCGGGATTTTGGCCTTCCGACTGGACGTTCCTCTTTGCGTCCGGTCGAGGACGTAAATAATATGTTCTAAGGAGGATGATAGTTGTTGATGATGTGATTGGTTCAACCTCTTACACTGATATTTTACTCCTTCGTTTGTTTTAAATAGATGCACAACTCTGGACTATCCTCAAGGAGCCGAAGCCACTTGGAAGTGAGGGGGGGCATTGCCCCCCTAAAAAAAAAATAATAATTTTTTTAAGGAGAGTAAATTAGAGTATATGTTTTTTGCCCCTCCTAAAAAATCACATTTGCCCCCCCTAAAAATTTTTTTTGTCTTAATTTGCTCAATATTCTTTCCAAACGCCCCTCTTAAAAAACTTTTTTGTACTAATCCTAATGATGACAAGTTTTAATCTACCGCTAATTATAAATACATACCCTAAAATATCTATGTATGTTTTCAAATTTAGTTCTAATATTTTCTTTCATAATTTTATGACAATTTTATTACACAATTTTTTTCTTCTTTTTTATTGCTTAATTTTTTTTAAACAACTTTTTTAATATATTTATATTATTTTTAATATTTAATTATTTTTGTATTGAATTTGCCCCCCCTGAAAATTGAAGCTGGTTCCGCCCTGGACTATCCTTCTAATATGTAATCATTTAGCTTTGCAAGCCTATCCTATTTCAAGGCATGCCACTACAGGAAAGCAGCTGATTTTCGTTGGAAAATGGTTAAAATCTGTCGGAAATTAGTATTTCCGGCGGAAATTTTTTCGCCGGTAAAACGCACGTCGGAAAATTGCATGCTTTGTAGGTGGCACTATTTCTTTTGAGTTAGAGCTTGGTTTACGTGGGATGCAGACATAATCGGGTCCAAAGAAGGAAACCTTTTTACATTTTCTTCTTTCATTATAATTTTCATTTACTTGTCTTAGTCAAGCTACCTTTTTTCCACGGAACATATGCATCTTATGTTTTGTTGCCTGGGCTTCCTGAAACATAATTGTCTCTGTTTGCTTTTATTTTATTTAGAAGCAGAGCCGGTTCATAGATTAATATGCTATTTTGATTGTGCTTTGGATTCATCTAGTTGGAGGGGTTATCTTCATCCTTCTAGACTGAGAAGTTACTGTAGTTCCTAGTTTGTATTGATTTTCTCAGCTAATTTTCCCTTTTGCTTCTAGATCCGACAACTCAATTAAGAATCACTGGAACAGTTCCTTAAGAAAAAGGTCTGAGGTCTATGTGAAAACGGGTAAATTTCCACCTGTCCAGAAGCCCGTCTTTCGGGCCGTTGCCAAGACCGAGACAAACTTTCGGAATGTTGCCCAACCCATGACAAACTTTCGGAATGTTGCCCAACCCATGACAAACTTTCGGAATGTTACCAAAGCCATATCAAACACTGGTGATAGGCAATTATTTCTTTGCTATGATAAAGAGTTCAATATAAGTAGCAAGACTGTATTAGAAAATTGTTTAACTATTCCTTGTAGTCTGCCATTGGAGACGCCTAAAGCAGAAAGCCAGAAGGATGGGGTATCTACACTATCTTCACAAGTTTTAGAATTAAATGCCACATTGGATGTAGCAGCAAGACTATCTGATAATTCTGATGCCCGTGATTGCCAAGCAAGGGCCTCCGAAATCAATCATGTACAGAATATATCTGAATCAGCAGCAAGTTTAGATTCCTGTAGATTAAATGGAGAAGTTCACCGGAATGAGGAACCTTTGGAAACTGTACACTATTCAGTTCCTGATAACATTGGCTCTCTCTGCTATAAGCCACCTCAATTAGAAGATCTTGGTGCTGCTACCTTTACGTCTCTATTTTTTGGAGACAGATCAATGCAACCAACATCAGATCATGTGATTATTTCTTCGCCCATTAGTCCTTCAACCCCTTCACCTACGAATATTCTGAAAGCTTGCCAACCAAGTGTCGAATCCATCTTAAAAAGTGCAGCTAGAAGTTTTCCAAACACTCCATCCATAATAAAAAGGAGAAGAGAAGTGCATATACCTATTCCTCCTGAAACTATGCATACAAATGAAACCGGAATACACGAAAGCTGTACTCCTAAAGAAGGATCAAGTAGTAAACTATCAAAATTGTTTTCAAGTCCTCTTAACATTTCTGGTGGTTCATTAGATTATGGAAAGAATTTAAATTTTTCTCCAGTATATCAGCTACGGTCCAAGAGAAAGGCAGCTTTCAAATCACTTGAGAAGCAACTTGATTTTACCATGGAAGAAGCAAATTTAGAGAGCAATACCAAAATTTCAAGCTTGGCAGTTAACAAGAGCTCTTCTAGTCCTACAAATATGCAGTTTTTGAGCATATAGGGAAGGAAGCAATGGATACTCTTGCGGGTTTGAAAAGCAAGATTTCTCACGTAAAGTTTTATGTGATCCAATGCAGAAATTGTAAGTTTAATTTGAATCTTATCTTGATAATTTTTTTTTTTGTTCTTGTCAATAAACTGAGGGCGTTGTTTTCTTCTTTTTGCTTAGAAGTTTGATTATTTTGCTTGGGTATTTCTGTAATGTATTTTGATGTGTATATTGATGCTTTCCCTTCATGTGAATCTATGCTTTTGATTGATACACATTTAGATAGTATTCGTTTCTCTTCAATCATTTATCTAATGAATTTTCTTAGGTATTGCTCATATGTTTTTACCTGTGTATATGATGCTTCCCCTTTATGTGAATCTATACTTTCATTAATACGCATTTTGGTAGTGGTGGTGGCATGCGATGGGTGGCGACAACTGTGGTGATCGCTGGAGGGTGGTGGCTGTCGGGTGCGGTGAGTGGCCGCGGTAGTGAATGGGGCGGCCGGCGAGGACTAGTGATGGCTGCTGATAAAGGTGGGTGGAGGCGGTCGGCGATGGGCCCTGGCGGCCGACGGTGGGTTCCAGGGCTAGAAGTGGTGGAGGTAGCGGTGGCCGGTGGCCGGTGGCGATAGTGGTGGCGCTGATTAAACAAGCTTGCTTGCGATGTAAACAATTTTCGCTCAAAACTGGATTAGTTTAATTTACCTAAAAAATGAATAAAAATGATTTATTCTACATTTATTTTACTTTACATTTGTTTTTCATCCAACTACAACCAAACAGCCCTAAATAGGAAGCAGAGTCATAAATAGGAAGCAGAGTCACAATAGGGAACTAGATTTTCTTTGTCTAGTATACGCAAGTTTGTTGGACGCTAAGTGATTTGCTTATTAAATGTCTTTCTTTGCAGGTTGAATAAAGTTGATGCAGAGTCAATTATGGAGGCAAACCAGTGTGTAACATAAAGCCCCCAAATAAGATTTGAAAAGGAATTGTTGTATGATGTCTTCCTATCTCTGCATTATAAAGTTTTTTCGAGACTTATTATACCTGTGGATCTATCTCCAAATCACAATATTATGAAGACCACACAAGCTTCAAACCTCCCAACTTTCAACATTTTTCGCTGATGATTTTTGCACCTTTAATGTATATTTGTTGAACAATATAGAACAAACTGGATGGCAGAATTCTGCCTTCCAGTATTTTTTGTGCATGCAATGTCTTGTACTTAACTGAAAAGATATTCAAATTGGTGAAGGCTTATGTCCATTTATCCTCCATAGAAAAAGAGAAAGGTATGCATATGGAGGAGATCAAATTTACAATTGTAAAGAAACTGCTTTGTTCATCTCTTTTTTCAGCAATTCAAATGCTAGTCAGTGATCTGTTGCATTTTTCTGCTGCAAATAATAATTGGGATGAAGAATTGAAGCCCATTCTAGTTTTCACCTGGTTTTTTAGATCCAAGTTACTTCTAAATAGCTGTTGAGGGTTGAGTTTTGGCTTGCAATATAAGGCATTAGTTTATAACATGGAACATTGTGAAAATACTGCCAGAAAATATTAGATAGGTTCACTAACATCTAGTCTTGTGATATCATATTTTCAAAAAATTATTACCGGCGGAGTCCGGACAATCACATGAAGACCGTTGAATTTTTATCTCTTGTATATAGAGTGTATATAAGAGAGAATATTCACTTGTCTTCATGTGATTGGAGTTCAGATGAAAAACTACGTCCGAATTTCACATGTAATAATTTCTCCCTATTTTCAGTATATGTTATTGATATCACCATTTCCATCAATGTTGCTTCACTGTTATATATTGAATTTTTATATCATAATTTTTACACGATTTTTATGTAAATATTTTATTGTCATATGATGGAGAAATTATTACGTGATGGCATCGGACTGTTCGGAGACAAATCAGAATGAATCACGTCATTCGGTACATAGTATAGTACACAACAACAAAAATGATGCGGTGATTCCTAAATATTGCATTAGAGTTAATAAATAACAAAGTAATAAATTAAATGCATATTTCAACCCCACCATCCTCAAATTTCTTGGCAAGTAATCCTTCAAAACATGATTTGTTGACTTAGAGAATAAGCTAATATCATGATATGTTGACTTACAGAATAAGCTAATAAAATATAATATAAAAAATTAATTTACCCATTATGCTCCCATTATGACAGAGCTGCAAATATATTTAATAATAGCCTTTGTACATATATATATATATATATTTAAATAAAAATATTTTCCACTATATACTTATTTTGAATCACCAAAGAAATACAGTTAGGCAATGATTTTTTATCCATAATAAGTTTTTATTGGGCTTTTATCCTTAATTGAAAGGTTTTTTTTTTTAATTGTTTTTGCATCGAATAAAATAAGAAATTTTATTTGTCACAAATGCAACAATATTAGTTTAAAAAGCTCATAATTGATATGACTACTTGACTTGGGAGGACTAACTGTATTATACAAAACCATTATTGAGAGGCAGTGGTCAAAAGATGGCAAAAATATTCAAATGCAAGTGTTGCTGGTCGCTTTAATTCAATTTATGAGGGTAATTTTGTGATTTTTTTAGTCAAAACATTTTGATCAGACAGCTCATTTTAATCTGTTGGTTGGGAGTTTTGACTATCAATAAAAAAAATTTGAGTTTGAGTCTTACATATGTGATGTGTGTGTGAGTTTGTCTTTACTGCCCTAAATATCCAAATAAAAAAAGAATATTTTGTTTAGTATGAGACATAAAATAGATTTTTACATGGTGTAAAAATACTCGACACATAAAAGGACCGAATTGGTTCCTAGTTTTATTTTGAAAGGTCAAAATAGTCCCCGACTGTATAAACATATCAATTTGATCTTTTACGTGTTTAAATAGGGATCAAATTAGTCATTATGTACGATAATTTAGATCCCTACTTAAAAATGCAACAAAATAGTCGGGATTCATTTTGTTCATTTATAAAAAGGCAGAGGATTATTTTTATCCTTATCTTTATATAATTTTTTTTTAAAAAATAATTTGTATCTTAATATTTTATGTTAAATATCTTCATAAAAGTATAATTTGTATGTAAGATTATTATATATATTAGGTAATATGTGTAAATTTGGCAATTATTTTGTTGATTATAGGTAAATATATTAATATTTTACTTATTTTTTTATCATAGATTTTATATTGAATGTTTTTTTTATTTTCTTTTGTTTACAAATCAAAATGACATGATTTTAAGTTATTTAAATATAATAAAAATATTTTAAATTATTTTTTAAAGTTCATTGTAATAAAATTATAATAAAAATATCTTGTGATTTTTCTTTTATTTTTAATATGATTTAAATATTAAGTAAATAAATGTTAAAAAAACTTAAATGATAAATATATAAATCCCTCCTTTTGTATTAATGTGGAAAAGTGCAATCATGTTGTACTCAATTTTCAATTATTCATGTGCATAAGTCAATCTTCAAATCACAAGTAAATATTTCATTTATTTTTGTATTAAAAATTTATTTATAGTTATAAAACAAAATCTCTTTTAATAGAGTTAGATATTGATTTTTAGATAGGTCCTTTTAAAAAATATATATATTTTTAAGGCATCATTGGATGGAAGTAATTTATGTACTACCAGTGAGATGACTAAGATTTTGTTTGGGATAATTATCGCACTACTTTTTAAAACAACTTAGAAAGCTGCTTTCAGAAGCTGTAAGAAAGCTAATTTCATTTGGGATGACTTTCATCAAAAGTAGACGCATCTTGTTTCGAACGTTGGGTTCGAATGAGATTCAAATTAGGTTCTAATTGAGTTTAGAGCAAGTGTGAAGCATGTTTGAAACAGGTCTAAAACTATTCAAATATGAACTAAATTTTATATCATATAAATTAAAATTAGAAGTATAATTCAGTTAGGAAAGTCGAGGCATTAGATTTTACTTATATTAAAAAATATAGAGATAAATGTAAAAAGACTTGATTAGAAAATATTAAAAATGATCTTCCTTTATTAGATTTAAATAAAAATTTGACTTTTGATAGGACATAATTAGGGGTGTCAATTTTTGACACAACACGAACCCGACCCAGAAAAATCCGGGTTTGGGTGAATTTGAAACGGGTCGGGTTCGGGTTCAACAAATCAACCCGTTTTAAAAATCGGGTTTGGTTGACCCAGCAACCCGCAAATTGACCCAAAAGTGACACGAAAACTCATTTTGACCCGAAAACCCTAGATTGACCCGTTTTGACTCGAAAACCCGAGATTAACCCTATTTTTGACCCAAAAACTAGCAATTTTGGTTCAAACCTGGGTCATTCATGTCGGGTCGGGTTGACCCAGACCCGAATCAGGTCGGGTTCGGGTTCGGAAACCTGACCCATTTTTAAAAACGGGTCAGATTCGGGTTGACCCGAATAGTGCCGGGTCAGTTCACCCGAACCCGACCTGTTGACCCGAATTGACACCCCTAGACATAATGTTGAAAAAGATTCATGTAGCGAATCCCATGTAGTGGGACAAAGGATTATAATGAAGCAATATTTATAAATTTTCTATAATTATTTACCAACGTGGCCCGCCCGGCTGAAAAAGCTTTTCACCTTTTCTTCTTGTTTTTTTTTAAAGCAACACGCAAACCGCCCCGTGGGCGGCGCCCGCACGGCGCCGGGCTTCGCCCCTTTCCCATGAATTCCGTCACTTAACCCCGCAGCCACGCCACTCTGACGTCTCCAAAACGAACCGCCCCCATCCGGTTCAATAGCCCGGCCGACCTGACCCCCACGGTCCTCTCTCTGCGTACTGCACCAATTAGCAGCCACGAAGGGCCCCACCATGTGGTCCCCGTGCACGGTTCAAATTCGTGGTCCATACGCCCCGATCGGACGGCGCCGATTCATTGACGAAGCGCCGCTAAGCTTAAAAAACCCGACCAACTATTTTATAAAAAATAAAAATAAAAATCTCGAACGGAGTTTGGCCGTTGGTGGAAGCGCCAGCCATTAATGTCCCCTTTCTTCTTCGTTTTTTGAGCTTCACAGCGAGAGACAGCAAGCGGAGGGAAGAATCGAAGCGGTGAACTCTTCGACCCTATAGGAGTGTGATTCGGAGAAGAAAGTGAACCGGAGCTGGAGCAGGGAAGCTCTATTACCCTAGAGAGAGTCTTTTACTCTTGCTACCCATTTGCGATTTGGTCTTTCTCTCTTTTTCCTTCTTGAGATAAGGATCGCGACAAGGCGTGGTTCTGGATAATTTGTTAACGGATTCGGGCTGCGTTTGATTTCTTATCTGAATGATCAGCTGGGGTTTTAGTAGGAGCTCAGTTCTTTGACGGAATTGATGGCCGCGAGGATCTAATTGCTTGCTAGTTGCTTTGCGTACGCGTTCGGCTCCTCCGCTGTGCATTGAAGACACTATAATGTGCTACTGTGGGGTTTAGCTTGGGAGAAGGGGTATTAGTGGAGAGGAGAAAGTGAGCACATACTGGTTTTAAGATGGGAATCTGCTGGAGCCCAAATAGCAAGGCTGTGAACCCCGCATTCAGCGTCCCTTCATCAGGTGGATATCTAAAACATTAAAAATGATGCTTTTCTTTTTCTCTCTATTTTTACTTAGAAACTTACGATTATTCTGATGCGCGCAGGGTCTAACTCGAAGACTAGAAGCAAGGATGTTAGTAGATTAAGTCGTGGAAGCAGTTATGTTTCTTCAGCTTCTTTTTCCTTAACCCATCGTAGCGAGGGAGAGATCCTGCAGCTAGCAAATGTGAAAAGTTTCACCTTTACTGAGCTCAAATGCGCAACCAGAAATTTCCGGCCTGACAGTGTATTGGGAGAAGGTGGTTTTGGTTCTGTTTTTAAGGGCTGGATTGATGAACAGACCCTTGCGCCGGCGAAAGCAGGCTCTGGTATGGTTATTGCTGTAAAGAGGCTCAACCCGGAAGGTTTCCAGGGTCATAGAGAATGGCTGGTAAGTAGTTTGATGCAATTATTTGATAGTTTGCTGCAATTCATGATCAATATTATTTTTAGGGGCTGTTTGGTTTTCTATTTTAGGTGTAATTTAACCAAGATTTAGCTGAAATCCTATCAAACATATTTTTTGGGCTTTAAATTCTACTAGTTTGATAACCAGGATTTGTTGAATCCTACCATTTACATGCTCTCTCTCTCTCTCTCTCTCTCTCTCTCTCTCTCTGAGCTTGAATTTAAAAAAAAACAGGCAAACAATTTATCAAAATTTAGCAAGATTTAACAATTGTATTGACAAACAGTTTTCAGGTTTTAATCCTCTTAATATTTATCATTAAAACTGGATTTACTAAATCCTAGTTGTAACCAAACAGCTCGTAAGCCTTTCATTTATTTGAATATTCTAATCTCCTATTATCCCTTTGATTATCTGATCTTAAAATTTACTTTTAAAAAAAAAATTTGCAGGCAGAAGTCAATTATTTAGGCCAGCTTCATCACCCTAACCTTGTCAAGCTGATTGGCTACTGTCTAGAGGATGACCATCGCCTTCTGGCCTATGAATTTTTGCAAAGAGGGAGTCTTGAGAACCATCTGTTTAGAAGTAAGCTATTTATGGTTGTCATTCATGATTTTTTTTCTTTGATTTCCTAATGGATGAATGGTTTTTTCTTGATTGGATATGATGAAAATATGTAGTGCTTGATTCTTTTGTTAATAAATAAGATAATTCTTTTGAGGAAAAATTATTACGTGCAGCATCCGGGTTCGTCCGGAGACCAATAAAAATGCACCATGTCGCCTTAAAAATGTATCGCGCTCGGTATCGCTCTGAGCGGTACCGAGCGCGTAACCGGATGGGAGAACCATCCGGTGTTTGCACAGAATAATTGCTCTCTTTTGAGAGAGCTCATAAATCATCCAGAATATGTGATTACTAAATTACTTACAATGTTGGAGCAGGAGGATCATGCTTTCAACCACTTTCATGGAAACTTCGAATGAAGATTGCACTTGGGGCTGCTCGAGGACTGGCATTTCTTCACGGCGCCGAAATAAGCGTCATTTATCGTGATTTTAAGACTTCTAATATACTTCTTGATTCAGTATGTGGAGTTATTAGCCAAATTTCTACCTTTCTTTCATGCCAGTGATGTCGCCATCGTTGCTAATTTTTGACAATATCCTTGCTTACAGAATTACAATGCAAAGCTTTCTGACTTCGGATTGGCGAAAAATGGACCTACTGGTGATAAGAGTCATGTATCTACCAGAGTCATGGGAACATATGGATATGCAGCTCCTGAATACCTTGCAACTGGTAAGTTTTTACCTTGTCTTCTCTATTAGATATTCCATTTGTAGATACTATTAGTGCATCCACTATTAACCATTAAGACAAATCCAATTGTTGGCAGGCCTTTTGTGGTTCATTTTTGTTTTTCATTACATGCATCTTTGTCAATCTATGGCCTACTTGATATAAAAAGTTCAACATGTTCTAGATGAAATATAATTACATTTGTGGACCTTCCTCATCAACTGATTCAAAGCTTGACTTCAATGACTATTTTTTCCAATAACTTATTCCATTCTCCTTGCTGAGGTGCTTTGCCATTTAAATCTTATCATGGTTGACAAGTATTCTAAGAAGATTCCTTTTTCTGGGTCCCAGTTCATTATTGATCTGCTAACTAATGTCTGCATGCAATAAGTGCATTATTAAGCAAAGTGAAAATTTAGAAATACATCAACCATGAACTGTGAGATAAGAATTCATGGAGAAAAGCTCATAAGGGCAGCTCCAACCAAAAAATCTCCTTTTTCACTCCAAAATGAAGTGAAATTAAAAAATGGCATGATTCATCTCCAATCGAACTCCATTTGAAGCCCTTCGCAGAAGGTTACCGTCTTTCTCCTCTTTCGCGTGTCTCTTTGGCAAATCCACTAGAGACAGAAAAATAACGCAGGTGAACAGTGCAACGCCAATATTGGTGTCGCACTGTTCACCTGCAACCAAATACCAGAAGTTTTACCATTCGGCTGGAGCTCGCGAGCGACACGCTATTCACGCGTTTGGAGTTCGGTTGGATAAGGCCTAATAGCCCCAAAATAAGTATGATAAGGTTAATAATGATGATGATCAAATGACCTTATTTTTGTGTTGTTAGGTCACTTGACTGCGAGGAGCGATGTATATAGCTTCGGTGTTGTCCTCCTAGAGATGTTATCAGGTAGGCGTGCGCTGGACAAGAACCTACCATCAGGGGAGCACAATCTTGTTGAATGGTCGAAGCCCTATCTCGCGAGCAAGCGCAAGATCTTCCGCATCTTGGACAGCAAGCTCGAGGGGCAGTACTCGCTTGCCGGAGCCCAAAAAACAGCCTCCCTTGCACTCCAGTGCTTATCAGCTGAGGCAAGACTTAGGCCGACTATGGATGCGGTGGTGTCTGTGCTTGAGCAAGTTCAGTCTACAAAGGATTCAGAGAGGAAAAATCAAGCTGAGAAGACTCTGCACACTCAAAGTTTTGGTCGTGGAGCTCAGGTGCCTCAACGGAAAAGCATGGAAGGTGGAAGTTTGAAGGGATATCCAAGACCTTTGGATTCCATTGCTGCCTAAGTAGGAGAAGTTATGCATGTTTTGATTGTTTGTTATCTATGAAGAGTTTTTGACACTCTTGAGGCATGTAGGTTTAACTACTACCTGCATATTTGTTACATTTTTTGTATATTTTGTTATGCATTACTGTTCTTGTCAGGGTATTTCACCTTGCAGACAGTTTTGAGCAGCTTAGCTCCTGATGCTTTTGTGAATTTAAATTCTTGGTTGAATGTTCTTTAAATTTTCTGTGAATTGACAGGGTGTGGAAAATGGTTTCATGTTGAAAGTTTAATAAGAGCTGAGCTTTTTATTCATTTTTAGATATTTGCCCATCATTCTTAATTATTTGGTCAGTTCCATTTGGTTTGAGCTCGCTTACAACTGACGAGCCGAGCTCGATAAAACTTAAACTCGGCTCGACTCAACTCGTTTACACCCCAACATGTAATATTCAAAGGTGTTTAATTGATGTCATAGCTGTGACCAATGATGACTTGTTGGATCTTATGTTTAAAATGATTAGATTGATTGATTTGATGAATTTCAAAAAACTGTGAAGAAGAAGACTATGAACAAACATACTATAATTTGGAACTCATCCAACAAGGTTTACAACATTGGGCTCTCTTCTCTTCTGTGGAAACAAAGTTACTCTTACAAAGCTATCCCCATGCTCTTGCAAGTTCCATTACAGGTCCTGGAGCTAAAGCCTTCCAATCCAACCTCCCCATAGTTCTGTTCCTGATACTGGCAAAATCCTTGAAATCAAAAACTCTTATGCGATTTCTAATGCTATCTATAACTGGAATCTTCCCTTCATCATCACAGTCCCCTCCTACATCTGATGATGCAGATTCTTCATTTGGCATCTCAATGATCTCATCAAGAATCTGAACGACTTTGCTCATTGGAGGACGGTCCTTCGGTCGCTTCATTAAGCATTTGTTTGCCAAAGCAATCAGCTTCTGAACTGATTTTGCTGAGTAGTTGCCTTTAAGTTTAGGATCGATTATAATGTGAAATTTCTTGGGGTCGGTAGAATAGGGTTTCACCCAATCTAAGAGTTTCTGCTCATTTCTTGGAAGGTTTCTGTCAATGGACCTTCTTCCGGTGATGATCTCATAAAGTACTACTCCATAGCTCCAAACATCACTCTTTGATGTCAGCTTTCCCATCTGGACATATTCAGGTGCTGCATATCCTACGGTTCCCACGACCTGCAAAAGAAATAGGAGTGCTGAAGGCAGTTAGTATTTGATTTAAATAGGAAGAGATGTTTAGGGTTAGGGCATGCAAATTATTGTGGCTGATTTCGTCCTTGGGGTTTGGAGACTTGAGCTCTAGCGGCGTCTAAAGATTGAGAGAGAGATCATTCTCTTGAATTGAGAATCAATTGTATCTTGCTATTTTCTTTAGTTAGTTTGATTGTTCCAATAAAAAACTACTGTTCTTTTAATTTTACATTTGAATTTGTGGATAATTCTCACTGTTTTTGTCAAGATCGTTAGGTTTTACTTATGAACTCCAAGTATTTCCTAACAGTAGAGCTCAAGTTTGTACAACATGGGAGTTTTTTGTAACATCAAGAAGCAAAAGAGTGTTGCTGAAGTTGCGATTACGATAGCTCTTTAGTTAAACAAAAGAAGCATACAATATCAAGTTATGGATCTAAATTAATAAATAAATCATCTTCTATTGTTCATAAATTACTTTCTATTATGGCTAAGTAAAAAAAATGAAAATCAGTGATGAAACAAAAAGTGAAAAATTTCCTACAACATGTGTTTTCTTCGGAAGTACACAGTTTAATCGGCCAGGTCTGCATAAGAAAGCCAGCATCATCTTGGGAGGGAAGGACCAAGAAAAATGTATTTTTGACAAATGAAAATTATTGCTGAGACAAAAGGGAACATTTTTCTTAAAGCATTTATTTCCTTGATAAGACTACCACTTTAATGGGGTGGGTATGCTTAAGAAAAACTGTATCATCTAGAAAAAGAATGAGAAAAATGTAACATTGAGATAGTAAAAACTAAGTAGTTGATTTGAATCTTACTGAGGTGGAGACATGACAAAATCCTTCTAACGGTCCATGTCTAGCAAGTCCAAAATCCGAGAGCTTTGCATTGAAATATTCATCTAGCAGAATATTTGAAGACTTAAAATCTCGAAATATTAACTGCAGAAATAATAGAAAGGACATTTTAGCATTTGGAAATATTGTTGGCGTTTTTGTTTTATGCTAAGAGGAGCAATTTAATAACAAATTACCTGGAAATCCATTTCTTCATGAAGATATGCTAAGCCCCGTGCAGCATCCTGGGCAATTTTTAATCTCAACCCCCAGGAGAGTTTTGATGGAACTCGTGCCAATAAGTGATCATCCAAGCTCTTGTTGAGCATTAGTTCATAAACCAGGAGCCTTTGAATCCCTCTCTCATTATCTTCAGCACAATAGCCAACTAATTTTACAAGATTTTGATGCTTGACAACACCCAAATAGTTGACTTCTGTAACCCATTCTCTATGTCCCTAAACTAGAAGTGAAACAGTAAATTATAATCAAAACCTTTGACTGTAGAAACCATCGTTACCTGTAGCTAATATTTTGTGAAATGTCATCCAATGATAGTTTTTGGACAATGTAGATGTCTAGTTAGTCTAATAAATAGTAACATATGAATAATATATTGTTGATATGGTTTGCAATGTTAGATGAAGCATGAAATTTCACTCAAACTTAGATCCAAAAAGTACTAAAACAAAGCCATCCGAATTCCAGTTTAGGCAAATTTATGGTAGAGATAGTGGTATGGCAAGATGAAGACAAAGGGATCAAAATTTTGCTGTTTATGAAGCAGTACTTGAAGCAGTTCATAAATAAAGTCCCAACACCTTACATGATTTTTGTATTTTTAAATTTCAAATTTTAGTTGGAAAGATAGTTGGAGAGTGGTTAAAAGTTAGTTAAACTTTCTTGGTAGTTGGTTGGAAAATAGTTGGGATAAGTTTGGTTAAGATCCTTATCCAAAACTCCGAGTGCTCTGCCTATGCAAGTTTAAATTTAAATGGTGGCGCCATTCAAAGAACAATTTAAGACTTCTCCAACTAATCAAGTTCAAATCCATAAAAAAAAAAGACCAGAAGATTTCAACTGTACTTGTGATTTAAAAACTGAAGTTATCTATTTTTCTTTTGCTTTATAAACAAGTGATGTACTATCCTTCAATGCTTATTGAATAGTTAATAAAACTTTGCTTGTATGCAATCTTTGGTGAATCTTTGTGGTTGATCCTCCCTCTTGAAACTGTGGCGAGTTTCAATTTTATTTTATTCTTCTTCTCTTTCCATCTCTTCATCTTCCATCATCTACAAACAATTAGGCTCTTTCGAATTCTCAAAAAAAGGTAAGCACTTGAGCGAAGACTAACTTTAATTGCAGGGCTACATCAAGGATGAAGATAAGCTCAGGTTGGTATGGATAGTAGAAGGGCTAGATTAACCTCTATAAGAGCCAATAAATAGTAGAACTTGAACCACCGAAAAGGAGATGGAACATTTAACAATATACTTTTATCTTACTCAACTGCCCCTCTAGTGGCTCAATTATTTTTCAAGGTGATCCTTGCTTCTTCGAGTCTCAACTGTGATAGTCTGATTAGCTCCAGGATAGAAGGAGAGTTCGAGTTGCTTCTAGGCCTTCATCTGTTTGTAATTGAATCGAGTATACTTAAACTTAAGGCACGCAGCAAGTCCCTCTTTTTTATCTCTTTCATCCAGGACCACAGCCATCATCTTAAGGGGTTTTTTTTGGCAAAAAGTAGGATTTTAGTAAATCCTGGAAATTTGGATTTATTAAATCCCGCTAAAGTTAAATCCTGAAAATTTTTTGAAAACATAAATGTTAAATTCTGTTAAATTTTATAGAACGGATAAGGAGATTAGTTCATTAAAAAATTTAATTTAATATGTATTTTAATTTTAATTTATATTTTAAGTACAAATTGCTTATTAATTCTAATTTTAATTATTGTCAATAAATTATAATTACACAAATAATATAATTAGAAAATAATTTAATTATGAAAGAATTTATTAATTTTAATTCTAATTATTATTTCAATTATGTATGAACTAATTATTAATTATTGTTGCGTCCTGGAATATTCACGACGATAAAGAAATATAAAGTTTAATGTCTTAGTTTTGTACGAATTTCCAGCACACAATCAGATAAAAGAGATGGTGTAACGGTTATAAGAAACAATTAAGTTTTTTACGTGGAAAACCCTTGAAAAGACGGAAACATCATGGGGTCTAACCCAGTTTGAATGAAGGCCACTAGTGTTTACAATCAATTACAAATGAGGGCCTTCCTTGGGGAGAACACCTTGGTTTGATGTATCAAATATACATCATACAGAGTGCATTACATGGTGTAAATTGGAAAAATCAAAATTGCTAAGTTCTTTTGGTCGACAGGACCATAGTCGGCTAGCGATAGAGGTCGGAAAGACCGTATTCAGGTGACGGTAGTAAGAAGGATTATAATTAGCGGGTGACGGAAGTCGAAAAGATAGTTGTCAGGCGATGGAGGTTGGAAGAACCGTGGTTAGAAAGACTGTTGTCTGACGACAGACAGTAGTCGGTAGGCGACGAAGGATAAAAGGACCGTAGTCTGACGATGGAGGTCGGAACGACCATAGTCTAGCGGCAGAAGTCGGAAGGACCGTAGTCGGCAGACCATAATAGTCAGAAAGACCGTTATCTAGCGACAGAGGTTTTTAGGATCGTAGTCGGCGGGTGACAATGGTCAGAAAGGCTGTTGTCTGGCGACGGAGGTCGGAAGGACTGTAGTCGGAGAGTGACGAAGGTCGGAAGGACCGTAGTATGGCGATAGAGGAGGAAAGGACCGTAGTTTAGCAAGGGAGGTCGGAAGGATCGGAATCAGCGGGCGATATTGATCAGAAAGGTTGTTGTATTGCGATGGAGATCAGAAGGATCGTAGTCGGAGGGCGAAAGTGGTTAGAAAAGCTATTGTCTGGCGATGGAGGTAGGAAGGACTGTAGTCGGCGGGCGACAGTGGTCACAAAGACGGTTGTCTGGTGGAATTTCAACAATAATTGGAAGCCGGGTGGAAGTCTGACATCATTCGGTGATCGAGCGGAAGTTCAACGACAGTAGGTGGCTGGGCGGAAGTTTGGCGTTAGTCGGCGGTCGGGCAGAAGTCCGGCGACAGTTACTGGCTGGGCGGAAGTTCGGCGTAAGCTGGCCGGGTGGAAGTCCGGCAATGATCGAGGAGTCTGGTGGAAAGAGAAGTTTAGTTTCTCTTCTTCATTCTCTTCCTAGCTTGGATCCCTTTTTCATGAGATATAAAATGTCTATTTATAATTTTCTGAGAGTGGCAAAATATGAGAGAGATCAATAGTAAGTTGGGAGTGGTTTTAATGGACGGTCGATATCAACTCCTTTGATTGTGGACCGTTTATTGAAAATTTGAATGCTTTAGTGATGTTAGAATTTGACGATCTTGGGCTTGTTGGATTCGTCTCATCGAACCGATTGATTCGAGCATAAGCATGTCACGTTTGGAAATTATTTGATTATCCAATTTATGGTTTAAATTTTTCAAATGTGTTTTGGTTCTTCAATTTGGACTAATTTGGGCTCGGATTGAGTTGAATTTGATGTTGTTGAGTTCATATTTCTGAGACGTTCAATTTGACTGTAAGTTTGATGAAATCGAAGTTCGGATGGCTCCATATTTAATTTTGGAAGTTTCCAACTTGATTTTGCCTCGAGATTCGTTCCGGATCAAAATAACTTTTTTATTATATATCAATTATCATTACTAACTAATCATTATAAATGATATAAGTAGAATTTAAATTAATTATCGATTAATCTAATTAATTAATTAATTATTAATTACATTATATTCTTAATTAATTTTAATTAAACTAGTTAAACTAAATTAATTTATACCTATGTTTTTGGCAAGTTCATCACTGCCTTCCTATAGCCGGTGTTTGCCTTCCCTCTTCTCCGGCTGTTCGTTGCTATTACACTTCGTCTGGTTCGCCTGACAGGTAGTTTTGAACGAGTCGCTAAATACTTTTATTCGCCTCCGACGACGTTCCTTCCTGTCGAATCCGAAGTCACACCTCCACTCTGTTCGATCGGAAGTAACGACAACGACGGGAGCTTGCTCTTGCTCGTTGCAAAGGTAGCCATCTTTCTTCCTTTCGCGCGCTTCTTCTTCGGCCAAATCCCGTAAATCCGCCGGCCTCCCGGATTTACTCGCTGTGAGATTTACCAGTTCCCTAAATCCTGTTTGGCAAGATTTAGCATAAATCCTGCTCAAATCCTGCATAAATCCTGTATCTAAACAGCCCCTAAGTGCCAGATCTAGCTCAAACAGTCTAGCATTTCAACATCAAGCTACTACTTCGAAATCAAATCGTTCACACAGAAAACATCACGAAAAAGTATTAGAGAAAAAAAATCACGGATCAAGAAAAAAACAAAACAAAAAGTTCACATCTTGCCTGCGATCCGTACTTGTTGTGCTGCTTCACGGCGACATCCATGGTCTTAACGCCACCATCACCTTCCTCGTCCCCTGAAACGCTGATCACTCCTCTGTACACGCACCCAAATCCTCCCTCCCCGATCATCATCGCTCGGCTGAATCCCCTTGTAGCTGCTTTCAGCTCCTCAAAACCAAATGCCCTCAGCCCTTCCGGCCTCCTCTCCACCCTCCACGTTTCCTCGCTTGAGCTGAACTCGAAACCCGACCTCCTTGCTTCCGAGGAGCTGGATGCGACGCTCAACGACCGGGCCCACGGGACCTTAGCCGCCCAGCTCCCCATCCCTTCTCCGCCGCCCGCGAGCCCCTTCTCGCCCGATACTTCTGCGCTCGGAAAGTGGAAGCACTTCATGATGTGAGATCGGAGAAGAAAAGTAGGAGCAGCTCATGAAACGGAGAGCAGATCAAGGAATTCCAAGTGGGAATTGGGAGCATGGAAACCTTCTGCTGCAATTCAGAGCGATAGAAGAAAAGTGCTTTTATAGTAGGCTGAGGGGGTTGCGGTCCAGGATTTGAAGTTTGAACTTTACATATAATTTTAGTAAAAAAGTCGGGGTTTGTTTTCTTATTTTAACATTAGCAAGGGGGTTTTGAAAATTTGTACTGACTTAGCAGCTTTTTTTAGACGACATGTTGCAGGGGAGAGGACGGACGGTCACGAGGACGTCGAGGGTGCAGCTGGATAACGACAATAACGGTCAAGCTTAACAGTCGTTAAATGATTTGTTATGTGGTTAGGGTATCCATAGGCTTTTATTAGGTCCTGTGCCCGTCAAAAAATTCAGTATTTGCTCGGTATTACTAGGTATTATTTAATAATAACGAGGAATATCATTCTGTGAAGATCAATACCGAGTTATACCGAGCTATACCGAGCAATACCGAGTTGTACCGGGTTTTTTCTGGAAAAAACTCGGTACAACTTTCGTATAACTCGGTATTACTCGGTATAGCTTGGTATAACTCGGTATTGGGTCTTCACGTGATGATATTCCTCGTTATTGTTTGATATTGCTCGATATTTCTCATTTTTTTGGCGCGATTTGGCCTCCAACCGGACGTTCCTCTACGTCTGGTTGGAGGACGTAATAATTGTTCTATCCATAGACCCAATGCTAATCCTAAAATTTTAAAATGGTTCGGATCGATCCGATCCGAGTTCTAAATGAGTTTTTTTATCCGTTTATTAAATAGGTCGGATTTGAATTAACTTGCAAACCTATTTCATTTAACTTATATTTTTTTCTTAATTTTTTTATATGTATGTATAATGTTATTATTTTTTATTAAATATCATAAATTTTAATGTTAGTAAGTTATAATTTTTTTAACAAAAAAGGATTAACGTGTCGGGTTCAAGTTGACCAAATTCGGATTGGGCCAATTTCGGATCAGACTTAAAGCTAGCCCGTCGAACCTTTTTGACCCATATGTAGCCATGTTGGAAAACAAATGTGATCAAATATTTTGAGTATGAGTATGACATTACTATCTATGTTGAGTACAATAAGAAATATACATTTAAGTTAAACTTAAATATGAGCAGAGCTACAGTGGGAGTACCAGGAGCTTGTGCCACTATTGGCTTAGCCGAATGTTCAAGTATATGCAACAAGGGTGAAGACAAGAGAGTATAGTTCATGATTTGCATATGAGCGTGGAGAATGAAGTGGTGGTGGTTATGCTGGTTAGATGAGGGCAATTAAGCGATGACAGTTGGACAATAACAATGGGCGATGATAATTGCTACGTCAAATGTTGAGTAGAGCTATGGAGTTTTTTCGAATCTCCGAGCTCTCTCCAATCTCAAGTTTATCTCCGTGATTTATAATATTTTGTGAGTGTCATTTTGATAAAACAAATCAATATTTCATAATGCTAAATGAGACGTCTCATATTGATGAATCATTTGATCATACACAATTTATTTCTTAAGAGATGTATTAATATTATTGTCTGTAATCAAACTTAAATAATAAATCATAACATAGGCTTGTTGGTTCATGATAGTTGTCTAATAAATTTGACTCCTTCACACCCCTACTCTTAGGATTCCAAGCAAAGAAACCAACATATTATTTTATTGATAAATAAATGCATCAAAGAGCATGACATCAATTTAGAATAACAATTACTTTATAAAAATTAAAATACATTTAAATAAAATAAATAAAGAATTTTTTTAACAAGACTGCACCTATAAAAAATTATTATTTTAAAAAAAAATTCACTGTAAATTATTGCTAATGCAATCTTTATTCAGGGCAGTTTAGAGATTAGAGTGCGGATCACTCGAGAGGAAATATTTTCTTCAATCAAGAAGCCACAACTTCGAAAATTATTACGTGCATAGTCGAAACGGAGTCCAGACTCCTATCACGTGAAAATATGTGGATTTTTTTCTCATGTACATAGAGTGCGTACAAAAAAATTTATTACGTGCATCCGGAGGCCAATCCGGACAGGCCACGGTATATAATACACAGTGCATTGGATGACATAACATATTTGAATTGGCTTTCAAAAGTGTTGAACACCGCATAAAATAATCTCTCATTTTTAAGAGAAAATCTAAATGTCGGGAAGAAAAGCCCTATCCGAACTCCACGCATAATAATCTCTCCCAATCTCTATTCGTTTTTTCATAAATTTGACAAAATGGCTGGAGCAACTGCCAACAACTTGGACTTCGTCAACAATATACAAGTAGTAATATATAATATCTACAATCTAGATTTTGTTTTTTGACCAAGAAAGTCAAGCTGTTCTTTATTGATGATGGTCAGGATATTGTTAAACTATTTAGCAAAATTTGATTAGAATATGATTTAAATTTTAATAATCAAAATTGAATAAAAATGTATGAATAATGCTTAAATACTTATACATATCAAAGTTTTGCAAATTACATATGCAAATTCTACATCTTGTAGGTCTATAATGGCCGCAATTTTGACGTAATAAATTCTTATAATTCTTTTATTTCCTTTTCAAATCACTAATTTTTTTGATATTCATCTTTATAATCAACATCTATACTGCTATTATAAAAGAATTGTCGAAGAAGCTTTTTCAGCTAGAGCTCGTCGTATGGCCTCTTCATCATGCTTCGGCTACGTCGAATTTTATTAACAGCTTATCATTCACATGCGAATCAGGTGCAACCACGTCATCCAGTACTGAGCAGTACCAAACTCGGTATGAACAGTACTGAGCCGCAATACCGAATAGGGGGTGATGTGACGCATTTTCACAGGGCTCTCAACGGCATTCGGTGTCCACGCATAATAATTTCTCCTTGCATATTTCATGGTAGCAATATGTGTTGGAACCGGTGTTCTTGTTGTGATAACTATCATATATCAATATTTTGAGACCTTTGTGAAAGAGAGAGCCACAGAACTTGGTTTCTTTGATCTGTACACTCTGCCAGCAGGTTTGATGGCCTTAAAACACTGAGCCGGCTTTCTTGCTCTTTATTGGCGAACCAGTTAGGCAAACATAGATAAAAAACCTTTTAAAATGAGGTTAAAAGAATTATTTCATGATGGAAAGCAATTAATTGCTCTTATTAGTACTGTTGATTTGAGTAGCTTTACATTTGATCAACATTAACTCTAAAATATTTTTAAATTATTAAAAAATAATAATAACTCTAATCTTCCCACCATGAAGCTACGCCCAAACCATCTCCACGTATACCTGCCTGAAAAAAAAAAGAAAAAACAACAGGTTAATTCAATTACCATATATAGAGCGCCGGAGCGGTCACGCGACGCGATTTCACGCGTGGGGCTCGATGCGAGCAGTGGCCAGTGGGGCAGGCGGGCAGCCCGTGTACGCTGCACGCCGGCACGCGGGGTCGTGGACTTGCAGGGCAGAGCAGGGCAGCCGGGGCACGGGGCAGGCGGGCATACTCGGGCATAGCGGGCAGGTTCGATTTCAGGGTCATTCCGGGTCATTTCTGGGTTGCTAGGTCAACCCGAACCCGACCCAGTTTTGCAAACGGGTTGATTTTTCGGACCCAAACCCGACCCGCTTCGGGTTCGGCTCAACCCAAACCCGAAATTTTCGGGTCGGGTTCGGGTCGGGTCCAATATTGACAGGTCTAACTGTGTATAAGAAAAAATTATTATGTGTGGTGTCCAGACTCATCCGGAGGACAATTCGGATGGGCCACGGCATAAAATACACAGTACATTGAATGACATAACATATTTGAATTGGCTTTCAAAAATGTCGAACACTCACAAAATAATCTCTCATTTCTAAGAGAGAAAATCTAAACGACTGAAAGAAAAGCTCTATCCGTTTTTTCATAAATTTGACAAAATGCCCGGAGCAACTGCCAACAACTTGGACTTCGTCAACAATATACAAGTAGTAATAAATAATATCTACAATCTAGATTTTGTTTTTTGACCAAGAAAGTCAAAGCTGTTCTTTATTGATGATGGCCAGGATATTGTTAAACTATTTAGCAAAATTTGATTAGAATATGTTTTAAATTTTAATAATCAAAATTGAATAAAAATGTATGAATAATGCTTAAATACTTATACATGTCAAAATTTTGCAAATTACATATGCAAATTCTACATCTTGTAGGTCTATAATGGCTGCAACTTTGACGTAATAAATTCTTATAATTCTTTTATTTCCTTTTCAAATCACTAATTTTTTTGATATTCGTCCTTATTTATAATCAACTTCTATACTTCTATTATAAAAGTAGCTTGAATTTTCACCCATATCAAATCATGATCATAATCACCAGCACTTCTAATCAATTTAATAGTTTACGTCGAATTTATTAAACTTATGCTGACAGTGATTATGGAAAACTTATAGCTTCCCGTGCTTCACGTGAAGAAGAGTTTTGAAAGAATGGTTGAAGAAGCTTTTTGAGTTAGAGCTTAGAGTCGTATGGCTTCCTTATATATCATGCTTCGGCTACGTCATATTTTATTAACCTTATGGACTATTTTATATAGGATGTATCTTTAAGAGACTCCACAGAGAAAATTTTCACATGTTATCATACAATTGATATCAGATATTTAAAAATGGCCATATCATCTATGGTCTAATGTTCTATTCTCTGATTTTCATATTTATTTTTTTTGGGCTAAAAAGCCTGTATCCGATCTTTAAAGGCCTATTTCGAATGAAGATTAAGACAAGTTATAATGCAGTTCTAAATAAATTTTTTATCTCTTATTTTCCGAAGCTTTAAGTACTATATAAAAGGTGACATTTATTTATAATTGACTTGAAGTTAATGTACAGCAACTGAAGTTTTTTTTTTTTTTTTTTTTTAATTCAAGAAGTTCCCAACTCTCATATTTATGTTGCATGTTGCTACATTTTACTTCACATTCCCTCCATATAGTACAGAAATTTTGTTGTATTTATATTCAAAGCATGTGGTAGAAAAACATTTGATATTTTCATCACAAGAAAATTACTCTTTGCTTCACTATATATCATTTTTGTATTCATTGAAAAGACATACCAACTTTACTTGTTTATTAAAATAATTTTAATTTATTTTAACTTTATTGTGAGATTACATTATGTTTTCCTTTGTGATGCCAGGTCATTGAGAATCCAATCTACAGGAGTTAAACCGTTAAGGTATGTGCATTCGAGAGTTGAGAGTTCTTGCAGATGAGAGATTATTCTGTATGGACACCGGACACTGCTTATCGTCCAGAGGCGAATCAAGTGCAACCACATCATCCAGTACCGACTAGTACTGAGCCGCAATACCGAGTAGGGGGTGACGTGACGCATTTTCATAGGACTCTGAACGGCGTTCGATGTCCACGCATAATAATTTCTCCTTGCATATTTCATGGGAGCAATATGCGTTGGAACCTATGTTCTTCTTGTGATAACTATCATATATCAATATTTGAGACCTTTGAGAAAGAGAGAGCCACTGAACTTGGTTTCTGTGATCTGTACACTCTGCCAGCAGGTTTGATAGCCTTAAAACACTGAGCCCGCTTTCTTGCTCTTTCTTGGCGAACCAGTTAGGCAACATAGATATAAAACCTTTTAAAATGAGGTTAAAAGAATTATTTCATGATGGTAAGCAATTAATTGCTCTTATTAGTACTGTTGATTTGAGTAGCTTTACATTTGATCAACAGTAACTCTAATCTTCCCACCATGAAGCTACGCCCAAACCATCCCCGCGTATACCTGCCTGAAAATAAAAAGGAAAATAAAAAAAAGAAAAAACAACAGGTTAATTCAATTACCATATCTAACAAAAAATTAACTATTGATGGGCTCACTCATAGGAGAAATTATTACGTGCGGAGATCGGACAAAGAACCGTTCGGTTTTGTCTTTATGAATAGTTAAAACGCAATGGTGCACTGCACTTTTACTACTGTACATAGAGACAACAAAATAGTTCTTTGTGTCCGATCTCCGCACGTAATAATCTCTGCACTCATAGAACTCTCGGTTCATTTATTTTTTATTTATTTTTTCTACTTTTATCAGTTCTTAGTTACTTCAAAGTGCATCGAAAAGAGTGAAGATCTCAAAATTTAAATAAGTAAAAAAATAAAAAATAAAATCTTCAAGAAATTGCTACATAACAGAATGTATGGATGCTAGCTTAACCAGTATTCATAACAAATCAAACTAAAAGAACTTTGGAAGTCCAAATTCCTATAATCAGGTGCTGGAAATGACAGGAAAACTGTGAAGAATGCCACGAATGAAAAGATTCACTTCAAATGAAATATATTAGTCTCATTGTGGAGGCTGCAGCAGTTTGTAAAAGGCCAATATATTGGATTCATAAATTGAATATATCTAGGCAGTGTTGGAGCTTAAGCTCCCCATCTCCCTTCACGCCATTTGCTCCAACAGAATTCCCATAAAAAATGTAATTATAAAAATATCTAGGTTTCCGGATACCGTCCAGGTAAACTAGATAAACAAGGGCTCTGAAAATTTACACCCGACTCTTCTGAGATAGTTCAAGTCCCAGGTCAAACTTTTAGAAGATAAATTGATTATAGATAAAATATTTCCTATAGAATGCGCACTAATTTTACCATAACATTATTATATGATTTCAAATTTTTCATAGGCATAAACCCTTATAGTTAATTACCCTTCCCAGTAATGAGAGTTCTTGATTAAAACTAGTCATTAAGTACAAAGTGCTTAGCATATAATAACAATGATTTAATTTTATGGTGGGAAAATCTACCATTGTTTGATTAAAGCAAATATTGAGGGAAATGATAATGAATCCAATCGAGATCCATGGTTCTATTATTTTAGGTTGCTATGGTTCATAATTTAGTTAGTCAGCGGGAAAGGTCCATCCAACATGCTGAAATATTTTTTATCAACAACCATAGGTTGTGTCGTCCAAGAGAGCCTTGTAGATCTAAGGTGGATGTTTTCCAACGAAGAAAATATTAAGTCGACCTTAAATAGCAGAGAACTTTGTCTTTTTAAATGCATCACAACTCTAAAGCCATTCGGGAACATTTAAAATGTGATTGTTACTGTATTATAATGATGTCATGTTGTGGTGAAATCACCCAATTAGAAGATCTCAGTTATAATCATTATTTAGTTGTATCATTTGATGGAAAAACTATCCGGTTAGAGAACACATGCCACATCTTTATTGATGCAAGAAATTTTCGGAGTAATTATAATTATTTGTCAAATCAAACATTGGTGCTTTGTGAGCAAAAGCTAATCTTAAACTTGTCAACATCATTAAACTATTGTTGAGGTTGGACATTAAAACTTGGTGTGATCAATCCAATATGCATATTTTTTAATTTTATACTTATAGAATTTTTTGTGATGGTTTGCGCTTTGAAGTCTTGTTGAAATTCATTGACACACGAGCATATGTGCGCTCAGAAAATTTTTCGCCCTGACTTCTACGCATGTTAGAGGAGAGATTTTTAATAAATTAAGTTTCGGATCAAACTTTTAGAAGGCAGATTATGTTGGAGGTAAAACACTACTCTCGAATAGAGGATCAATTATATATTGGTATTTTCCGTTTATGTTTCATCAAATAATACAAATTACCTACTGTTTTCCTGATTTTGTGCGGATTTTTGTGGAGAATTCTCGCTGCTTTCCAAAAATTGCTAGGAAATTCTTGAGATCTTCAAGTATTTCCTATCAAAACCATTCAGTGGATTCCTAAGGAATGGATTCGAACAAAATCCTAAGGGACTCATCCAAGTAGGCTTCCAAAGGATGATCCTTTAAAAAAGATTTTTGAGTAGATATCTGAGAAATGCCTTGCAGTGATGGTTGATTGGCTCAAGAACTTTGCCAACCTCTTTGCATAGCACATAATGCCTTAGCTCAACTTAAAAGGACCAAGTTGAAGAGCCAAGAACTAGACAAGATATGAATTGGTAATGAATATGTGGGACAACCTCATTTAATACTTCTCCAATACTCAAAAAGAAATGCACTATACATGCACAAGCAGGAACCACAAAAAATGGCAGCGAAATCCCCAGCACTAGTAGCACGCTCCCTAGTTAGGTGACAGAACATCTAAATATTCATGAGAAAATCCATCCACCCCAATACTTGCTAGAAAGGTAAATTGATCTCTTTAATCACTTGACATGTACAAAATATGACATGATAAGGGATTCTCAATAAATCACCCAGAATTGAGTTATTCTCTATAAACGATATCATCCAAGTAAGTATTTGAATACAATGTAATGAAACTATGGGAGATAAAAATGCAAAGTTTACTCTAGGAGTCCTCCTACTAAATAAACTGTCATTGAGCAACAACATCAAGCCTTTGTCCCACTACATGGGGTCGGCAACATGAATCCTTTTTCTCCATTGTGTCCTGTTAAAAGTCAAATTCTCATTTAAATATAATAAGGAAAGATCATTTCTAATGGCTCTAGCCAAGCCTTTTTAGGTCTACCTCTACTTTTCTTAACATAAGTCAAATTTAATACCTCTACTTTCCTAACCGGGTCATCGGAAGGCCGCCATTTTATATGATCAAACCATCTAAGGCGACTCTCTCTAATCTTATCTTCCACTGGAGCTACTCCAACCTTTTCACTAATATGCTCATTTCGTATCCAATATCTAAGAGTAAAGCCACTCATCCACCTGAGCATCATCGTCTTTGCAACACTTAACTTAATATTATGCTTCTTTTTTAATGGCCAACATTTGGCACCATAAAGCATCGCAGGTCTCACCACCATCTTATAGAATTTTCCCTAAAGTATGAGGGGAACTTTTCTATCACACAACAAGCCCGATGCATTCCTCCACTTCAACCATCCAACTTAAATTTTGCTAATAATATCCTCATCTATTTCACCATCACTCGGAACAATAGATCCAAGATATCTAAAACAAGTACTCTTGTTAATGACTTGATCACCCAAAGTCACAATCCCCTCACTAGGTCTATTATTACTAAAATTATACTCTATATATTCAGTTTTAGATCTACTCAAGCGAAAACCTTTAGGTTGACCTCCATAATTCAAGTTTACCTTCAACTCCTTCTTTAGTCTTATCAATAATAAGAATATCATCAACAAAGCATACACTAAGGTGCATCCTCTTGCAAATGGCCAGTGAGAACATCATGACTAAAGCAATAAAGATATGGGCTTAAGGCTGATCCTTGATGTAATCCAACCGAAATAGGAAAATACTTGGTCAAACCACCTTGTGTTTGAACATAAGTAATAGCTCAGGCATACATATCTTTAATGATTTGAATATAAGCGTTATTAACTCCTTTCTTTTCAAGAACTCTCCAAAGCACTTCTCTAGGAACTTTATCATATGCTTTCTCTAAATCGATAAATATCTTATGTAGACCCTCCTTATTCTCTCTATATTTCTCCATCAAACCTCTCAATAAATGAATGTCTTTCATAGTAGACCTAACCGGCATGAATCCAAATTGATTTTGAGAAATGTTAGTATCACGCCGCAACCTACGCTCCATAACTCGCTCTCATAGTTTTAAAGAATGACAGATTAACTTAATTCCTCTATAATTCGCACAATCTTGGTTGAGCAATGAGTTTGATTTTTATTTAGGTGCATAAGCAATGACATGGTTGTGCAACTCAAGAGGAGAAATAAAAATATGCATTATTCCCCAAAAAGTTGAGGGACTATGTTGAATATTTATTCTAGGATTCAACCTCGTAATAACTCCACTGATTAGCATCTTTACTAATGAGCTCTCCTCCTCAACAAAAGTCCCAAATAAAAAATGAGCATTAACAATATCAAAGAAAAATGGTGATGCATGCAGGTGGCAGAAAAACATTCAGGAATATGTTCATTTCGTAGGACTTACAACTATTTCCATTGGTGCAAATGGTTTTGAATTTGCTTCTTGTTTGACTGGGATGGGAGGATATTTAACACTTATAACTTGAAAATTCACCTGCAAGTTAGAACATACTGAAAAATATAAAATAACAAATATCGAATGAGGCTCATTTTGCCCTATACAAATCAGAGAATATAAATTACGGGATATATAATCAACTATCAAAGGTGGGTGTTGGTTACCTCCTCATTTAGGTCCAGAGGAAAATATTCTGAATTATAGTCCCACTGCCAAATGCCATCATCTCCCCTGCACAGAAAGCAAAGAGGTCATTTTATATTTAGAAGATAAGATATGGATTAGGCTGCAGTTAATTAGAGGCCACCAAAAAGAACCATGAACGTTTTTGCAATGCAAGAAGACCACTTTTCAAAAGCATATAGTTCAATTCAAAAAGATTTGTATTTAGATAATATAGCCTGGAAGGGAGCCGTGAAGATGTCTGCCTAAATGATCTGAAGCGGGCAATCAGACTTCTTTAAAACTTCGAAGAAAGATCTTTACCTTTTGCATGGTTGTTGTAGTTGAAGCACTGGAACGTATATGTCATTGAAGAAACCAAGAGATACTGCAAAATAAGTTGATTGAATGTATAAGACATGAAAAAAATAGTAAAATTAACAGATATTTTTATTCGAGCATTAAAAATTTAAAGCATGCGCGTGGACCTGAATAGGCTGGAATTGAAAATACAGGAGGAATTCTTGTGCCAAGAAGCTTGATTAATACGGTTTTAAGCAGTGAATGAAAACTTACATATAACACGTTAATTTCTAACCTTGTGGGTCATGATTCCAGCTTTCTCTGAAGCATTCAAAGCTTCAACTAAGGGTGTGTTTGGGATGGTGGCGCTGCTGCTTTGCTTTATAAAAAGTTTTTAATTAGTCGTTTGGGGAATTGCGGCGGAACGACGGCAAAAAAAATTCGCGGTCCGCTGCTTTCCGCGGAAAAATGATGTAAAATCCCGCTTGTAAATAGTCGTTACCTTCCCATCGGCGCCTTCCGCACCACTTCCGACTACAATTGCGGAACCTAAAATCCAATGTCAAGCTCCTCATGATCATCTCGCGGCAATCTCCCGACCCGGCTTCTCCAATCAATCTTTTTCGCTTTCCAGTTCCTGTCCCATCTCGCCGATGCTGCCGTCTCCGCAATCTTCCGCCTCATATCTTCTCCGCCAACTCAACACCTCCTCGCTTATCGTAGCAACCGGTGGCCGCATAACTTTCAAAGAACAGGACGGAAGCCTCCCCTGTTTCACTGGAAACAGAGCAGGCATGGAAAAACAGAGGTCGCTTCTGTGATCTCTCGGGGGAAGAGGGCCTCTGCCATGCCCTTAGTTGACTTCGGTTTTCACTTCTACTCAAGCCCTTAGTTGACTTCGATTTTCCTATTTTCTAATATCTTGTATGCGATCTTATAGAAGATAAAGAAACCTGTAAAATAGCATATAATTATTCTTCATGTAGTTTCGTTATTCTTCAAGCTGAAATATTTGTTGAGGATATGTAATTACATACTTATTTAATCTTTTAATTGAATAAAAAAAATTTAAAAAAATTTTGATATTTAAGCAATTTTCTTTCATCACAATATATATAAGGTTATAACCGTAATTTGTTCCCATACAGCTGCAGCACAGCAGCTCGACAATTATACTTCCCAAACAAAATATACTGTTTTCTATACAGCAACTTCACAACTCGACTTTTTGTACATCAGCTTCACAACCTGCTTTACCGACAGCTGCAGCCGTCCCAAACGAAGCCTAAATTTATCAATGAATCTATCACATTCTCTAACGTGGATTCAGCTTAACTCTTCCATCCACTGCAGTACAAAACCTCAATCTTTCACCATTTTACTTTTTGCCATTGCAGTTCTCAAAAACTTGTAAATTTAATTGGAATAAAGTAATAATTTCTTCATCTTCCTAGGAGTACTTTTAAGTTTTTCAGTAAGGTAGAGCAATGTAACCGTTTTACTTTTTGCCTTCCGAGCAGTCCCTTTGACGGGCATTCTCGTTTAAGCTTGTGCTTCCCATTTCAATAAATTTCTGTCACACTAATGCTTTGAATAGATAATTGTTCATTCACCGGACTCTGAAAATAGTCAGTTCCGTATAAGTTTACCAATATGGTGAACTATAACAAAAATATTACATAGATTAAAGTAATTTTCCTTGTGGTTTTGGGAATGGTTAATTCGATCTAAAGTACATTAAATTGCAGCATTTGATACAGAGTTTCTGCCACTATAGTGGTGTTGATGGACTCAGACAATGGTATTAGTAATTGAATTGAGACTGCGGCATTTTATTATGTAATGGTAAAACAACAAATAAGAAAATGCAGTACAAAGAGAAAAACATTTCCAAGGACAGTGAAGTCAGAAAGATCCTAAGCTGATTCAGCCAGATCCCATTAAGCATGAAAACAGATGCAAGAAAGATCAAAGTGGCCACAAAAATACGGACATAAATTTGCCATTTCGTACATAAAGTCATCAATGAGAATATTTGGATGATGCCATTACTATTTAAGGGTCAAGAGAAAAAGAGACTGAGGCCCACAAGAACAAGGTAGATTCCCACCATGATAATGCTTAATGCCAACTGCCTTCTCCAAATCATGTAAAGCTTTCAGTAGCAAATCAGATACAGATACAGATCCATCTGAATCTAGGACGAAGACATAAACTAATTTTTTTTCTAAATTTAGGGTATCTGTATCTGATTCATGTTGATCCTAGGCAAGTATCTATGCTCACAAGACATCACAAATTTTTTTACTGCATTTAGGGCATCTGTTTGATCAAAGTTAAACCAGTTTTATTAGTGCATATTCCTTCATTAAGTCGAACTAAAGAATTGTACTAAGAGCTGAATATTTTAGTTAATACAATATATACTAAATGTGGAATGAAACGAGATAAACTGGCAAGAAGACAATTGCGGATGTGATATGAAAAACAAATATGAAGTTCTGCTCAACAGCTACATACTACAAAATATTATAACAATGCCATTACTCAATATTATGTACAAATGTCATGAATGGCATGAAATTTTGACTTATACGTAGACAATAATGAAAAAATCAATCCCAAAGTTACCAGCATAGTACTTCAAATTACATCCATCTATATCTTCCTTCAGGAGAAATTTCAAGCAATTAATTCCAATAGTTTAACTTCATTAAAAAAATACTGGGTGTACAAATGCTTTCAATTTCTTAGAACAACAACGTCATAATGTCATATCTTGACTTCTAGTAGAATTGACTGTATGTCTGTATCACATATTTTCATTTCATAAGAAACCAAAGTTCAAATATAATTTGAGAGCAAGAAAGAAACAATAATCTGAGGCTTACAACGCAAGCCATCATCGTTTGACTCTTCAATTTTTCCAATAAGAATCTCCCCAACTAAAGGTCGAAACATGACTAACCTGATTACAACCTGTAAAAGTTTGACAATTACCAACAGTAAATTATGAAACAAGACATTAAAATCATTTCCAAAGCAGAAATTGAATACATAATTAGTATCAATAAAACACGACTCGGGAAAGAAGTACGTGGTCTAATGCAAACCATAATAGGCCAACTAGATTTTGGACTGGGTTAAATCCATAAGCCATGTGAAAAACCCTTTCAAACCAGACCAAACATTTAGGTTTTAAAGGTGCACATGATTTCAAGCCATTAACAGTTATTATCAGGTAAAAAACTTCGAAAAACACCACTACCAATTACACTAGTTTAAGCTAAGATGATCCCTCAGTCCCTTACCCATTTCTAGGGTGAAGCATTGCAAGATGCAAGCAAGGAATAAAAAAGGCATCATTTTGCCAATTTGATACAACATGAAACATGCTTAGACCATTAATAATAAATCCCCATGCTAGTATCAAACTGTTATTCAAGTATAAAAAATTTGTTAAGAAATTAGAATGATATTGATATAACTGTTGAACTTCACTCTTTGCCACACCACTTTGTTAGGCAATTCCATTGTCATTACTCCCCACTTCAAGAGGTTTTAAACAATTATCTTCATAACGTGCTAACACTTGCTTCAAACTGGCATGAAGTTTAGATTAAACGTAAAGAGGTATTTCCACCTCACTTTAGACCGTAGGTGAGAGCAAATTTTGCCATCTCACCTTGGACTTCAGACATGAAAAGGTACTGTTACCTTACTAAGAATCTTAGTTGTGATAACTTCTTGTTTCATCGCTTTAAAATTAAGATGTAAAAAAGGTATCTCTAGACCTTAGGTTTGAAGAGATTTCATTGCCTCTTTTTAAATCTCAGCTGTAAGAAGTGTTACAGCCTCACTTTAAATCTTTTATGTGAAGAGGAGTCACAGCCTCAACCTTGGAAGATAAGCCTTATTTTCCATCTCACAATGGTAAATCATTCCCTAGAGATTATATAGATTAGGCCATCAATGATGTGCACGAGTGCATGGATACTACACTATCACATTTTGTGTACGGACAATCTCTTTGCAATGTAGCATAATGACGAGCTACATTGGTAGGAGCCTTAGTAATTAACGATGTAGATAAGGAAGCGCTGTTCTAAACTATTGATCTTGAGTGGCTGTCATGGAATCATGTAGATCCCTTTGAAACTAACATACAAAGAGAAAAGCATATCAACTGTTACTTATCATGTATAAGAGCCTAATAAGACCTAGCATTGGTAGGAGCCTTAGGATCTAGCGATGTAGATAAGTACTGTTCAAAAGTTTTGATGCTGGGTAGCTGTCATGGAATCATGTAGATCCCTTTAAAACTAGCATACAGAAAAGCACATCAACTGTTATCATGGCATATTAACGAAGGCCTCATCTGAGCTTCATTGATTGAGCCTTGACTCGTTTCTGTTAAAAAATATAACTTCTGATGTTATAGATGTTCATAAGAAACCAAATTCAACTGTGAGGCACGATGGATTTAATGTATAATTTATAGATCAAACTATCATTTAGTAACATAACCCAAGGTTATAGCTTAAAATTAAAAAAAAAACAAAAACAAAAATGAGGTTGCATTGAGCTATTTTACTTGCAATATGATTGGTAGTTTAAAATAAAATAAAAACAAAAAACATATAAAATGAACTAAAACAATATAAAAATTTAAGTAAATATCCATAAACATGCGTTAACTATTTTTTTTCCAAAAATTCCGTATGAATTAATAGCATGCTAGAGATACTAACCATAAACTAAGTTAGACAAAAGCATGCAAGCACTAATCAAGGAATAAAACACAAAAGTAAACAAATAGATAGCACTACACAAATAAAAAAACACAATAGCAAACAAATAAATGGAAACTACCTCGTATGTAGAGCAACCATCTCCAGGAGAGATGAAACCACCATCTATAGAAAGAATGTCATAGACAGAAATGCAAAGGCCCAAATTTGCAATAACCTGATAGATCCATGAGCATATAAAATAGGCCAATAGTCGAGGCTTAAATACAGAAGAAAAGAAGTTGACAAACCTTGTCCAAGAATTGCATTTCAAGTTCTCCCTTCATTGCATCAATGAGAGGAAGGCCCAACAACTGGGGATTCAAATGCAATGTGTGCCTGATTTTGCTAAGATGAAACATGGTGCCTTCAAAATGAGATGATGACCAACAGCATTTAATGTTTATTAAGAAATTAAAGAAATTAGTTTGTACATCAATTAAATAGGAGATATAAAGGAGGTTGAACAATAATGCCTATTGTTCCTACAATCCAACATAAACAAAACTAAAGCACATTTTACTCTCATCCATTGACAACTTGTGATTTACTCTCATCCATTATCCTCTTCACAGGATTAGCATATGCAACACCTCACTTTTTGGCAATGCTTCATGTATAACATGTTTGCAAGAGCATCATTTCCACAAAAATGGCTATTTAAGCAAGTTAGTGAAGCCTATTTTAATCACCACCTCAATGTCATTGACCTTTGGTTCCTAAGTGCTATCTAGTCCCCATAGAACCTAAGATAATGGAATTATTTGTGCCTGCCCCTCTTATGTGGGTATGGAGGCCAATACTAGCTAAGCACCTCAAATATCGCCCATGACCATCTTTCTTGGCATAAGCAAGAGGCCATAGTATGCTTTTCTAGACACTCAAATTTACAAGAGTACACATGAAAAAGATACCAAAACTTCCGACATTTATGAGATTAAGCCAAATTACCCCACACCATGATTCCCACGCAAAACAACTTTCGAAAATGATATAGATAAACATAGCTACATGTTGCAAAAACGAGCCAAATCTGCAAAAGAAGATATCATTGTTGTTATTACTCCCTTTCCTTCTTAATAGTGAGAGCTTCTCTCTATTGTGGTCAAAGGCTTCTCCTTTTCATGGAGCAAAAACTCTAAGCACCTCCTCCTTGAAAACATCTCATTCCAGCAATCACCCAAAAAACTCCTCTGTTCTCTCAATTGATGCCCACCTCCTCTCCCTCTCCCTCTCCCTCTCCCTCTCCCTCTTCCCTCTACTCTCAATTGATGCCCACCTCTCCCTCTCCCTCTCCCTCTTCCCTCTACTTGCTTGCGGTTATGGAATGACCACAAACACCATGCAACCTTCTCCTTATATAATGCTTAGTTGTGGTGTATAATAAACTAGTAGTGGTTTGGAAGATTGTGGTAGGTAAAATACTTACAAACGTTAGGTAAAGGGTTATGGATAACAAACTTGTAGGGATCATAAAGAGGGTGGTAGGCAACATACTTGTGCAGGTTGGGAAGATAATTTTATTTGCACATCTCAACAATCTCCAACTTGGAGATATGATTTCTAATGTATCTGCTTGGTAATCAATGCCTAAACACCTCCCTATGCAGCACCTCTATATCATAATTTTGGTGGTTAATTGAGGCTTGCAAAGCCTTAACTTTTCAACGGGCATCACTTTGTGAGAGCATATTGATGGAGGTTATATCAAGATCTATTAGGTTTTTGCAACACTGTTTGTTGCAATTTTGGGGCTACACATTTATGTCTATGACATCTTTTCGTAGATGGTTGTTTCATCTTTCCAAGAGATGGCTGCAATTCATACGAGATAGTTACCATTTATTTGTTTGCTATGTGTTTTATTACAAGATTAGCACTATATATTTGTTTGATATTGTGTTTTATTCCTTTGTAATGCTTGCATGGTGTTGACTAAGTTAGGTTATGGTTAGCGTCTCTAGCATTTATTTAATGAGTTATAAAACATAAGCGTCAGGGAACCATGTATATAGTACTACTTGAGTTGAATGCACCATTGTTCAAAATTGTGTAACGTGAGGCACGTCTCGGTGCAATTCCGACAAAAAATACCTTGAGGCATATGCCTCGAGCTTTTTTGTGAGACGTGCATCTTAGTTTGATTGAGGCGCGCCTCTTTCACCCTTTTTTAATTAAAACTTAACTAAATCATAAACTAAAGCCCTGAACAAATCATGATTTCATGTACCTCCGAGCCACAACAGCTTCTTCTCGACTGCCTCGACCTCCAACCCGCTACCTCAACCACCGCCATCATAGGCATACTATTTTAGATTGGGAGGCATTGGACTCCATAGGTAATGAGGTAGGGGAAAGAGAAAATCGTTACAACGATGACTCAAATGAAGACCCCTTTAGTGATGATAATGCAGATGACTTCTTAATTATTAACATACAATTTTATCTTTCTTTACGAATTAAATGTGGATGAGTATGAAACTAAGAAAGAAAAGATTTGGAGACGAATTTGATGTTAAATGATATTTTTATGCAATTCCTATATTTTATATTATTTTGCTCTTATGATATTTGGATTTTAATTATATTTCATGTAATTTATCAGTCGTTACTTTATGTTTTATGCAATTTTTGTTTCATATGTATGTTGATTTTTTCCTTCATAGTTTAATAGAAAGTTAATATGTCATGATTTAATATATTATTTGATTATTATAAAAAAAATCACTTTTAAACTTTATTTTCACTTTAAGCAATTTTTGAATTTTGAGGCCTACGCCTCGCCACACAGATGGAAAACGACTTAATGCCCAATTGTGCAATCTTAAATCTTCGTATGTACTTTGTCCGAGCGCAGACGATAATGTTCTTTGTCAAGTGAATATCACTTTGATATTAAGGAAAAAGTAGCATCTTCTTGTGATCTATTCAATTCTTCCCAAATATTTTAGCCAAATCATTTCCTTGTTGACTTCAATGACAACTATGCATTTAGCTTTTGTGGTCAATAATACAACTATTTTTTTTAATTGAAACCCAACTAATGATAGTACCACTAGGATGCAGATGAACTCAATAGTACTTTTGCATGCATATAAGTCTCCACCAAACTACACATCAATATATCCCTTTAGTTTCAAGGCTGCCCTTTTAAACTTTAATGAGTAATTTAATTATATCTTCCAGGTAGTACAAGATTCACTTTACAACCACCTTATATTTCTTTCTTAGATTAGACATACAAGAACTAACAAATCCAGCTACATATATAATATATAGTCTTGTGAAAACTATACCATACACCAAAGAGCTAACTATGGATACATAAGGGGCTTCAGTCATATAGACTTTCTCTTTATCAATCTTTGGTGAATGTTTTTTTGAGAGCTTGAAGTACTAGCAAGTTTAGTGCTCACCATCATTGCTTTGATCACATTGAATATAATTAACACATCTTCAATGCATTAATATTGTGATAGGCTAAAATTCTTTATCTTTGAGTAGCCTAGCCAATGTATAGGTGCTATTATTATAAAAAAATTTAATATCATCTTTCATAATAAGCTACCACTTGGCAAAATCTTTGACCTGTACGGTTTCATCATAACGCTTAAGCTCTCTTGGGTCTATAAGCAATAGTTAATTAAGATAATGAGAGTAATGGTTAGTACCCTAATGAGTTTTTGTGACCTTCTGACTTGGTTCACAAGTGTGTTGAGCTCGAGACGTTCCTGAGTTACCTGTAATGTTTCTTATTTTTGCTCTAGGGTAAGTAGCCCCTCTAGTTCAACCAGCTCTAAAATGAAGGTGTCTTTTGCAATAATTCATGACATATTTTATACAGTATAAATTCATTAAAGATAATATTTCTACTCATACTAATGTTTTTACTTTCACCATCCCAAAATTTGCACCGAAACCACTTAATTGACATCCAATGAAGTTGTACTTGATGAATTTTGGGTCAAGCTTATTTATAGTGATTTGACCAACACAAATACAAGATAGGCAATTGCGAACCATCAAATGTGACAAGAATATTTCCTTGCATGTTCAAGATTCTTCAAGAAGTCCAATGTTAAGTGCAATTAATGAGGAAATGTTCAAGATTCTTCAAGAAGTCCAATGTTAAGTGCAATTAATGGTCCTTGGTTTATCAGATATATTCATATGCTTACTGCTTCAATCCATAAGGTCTTGGGAAGACCAACATACAATCTCATGATCCTTGCATGCTCATTGAGAACTATATTCATCATCTCAGCAACTATATTTTGTTGTGAAGTTTATGGCACTGTTTTCGCCATATAGATCTCAAGAAATGCAAAATAGTTTTTGAATTTTATGAAGTCATACTCTCCACCATTGTATAATCAAAGGCACTAAATTTTGCCTCCAGTTTTATTCACCATTAGACTTTTCCACTCACACAAGTTAAGAACACGTTAGACTTATTTTTAATAAAACGAACTCATACATTCCTAGTGTTTTCCTCTATAAATATGATGTAGTTTAATGATCCTGTCAGGAAACTGATAAAGATGGCCCTCATACATCTGTCTGCACTAACACAAACCGTCTGATCATAGTTCTCTTTAAACCTTAAAGAAATTAATCTGTCTTTGCTTGTCTAAAATGCAATCTTCACATAAGATAGGTTGAATAAACTTTAAATTTGAAATTTTACCTTTCGCATGGAGAAACTTTGTAGAGAAAAGTCAATCTCATATTTATGCTAACTATCCTTTTGAAAATATAAAAACTTAATCAAAATAGTGTTAGTTCAAAGCCAGGCCAAAAGTGCTAACAATCAATTTAGAAAACTAAAGGGGCAGTTTGGCAACATGATTTATGCAGGATTCGAGCAGGCGGGATTTGAGCAGCCGGTAAATCTCACGGCGGAATACATCCTCCGTTTCCCTCTTTTTGCCGTAAATCTCGGATTTACTCATTCCTGGAGTTCGACGGATTTAAGGGATTTGGCCGAAGAAGCGCGCGAAAGGGAAAAAGATAAAGTTACCTTCGCAGCGAGCAAACTCCCGTCGCTACTTCCTATAGGCGAACTGTCGCGACAGGAAGGAACGTCGTCGAAGTAGGTGAAGGAGCCCTTTAGCGATTCGTTCAAGCAGGCGAAGTCGAACAGTGATGAAGAAATGGAAATAAATCGTAGAAACTTCTTAGGCTCGAAAGAGAAGAAACAAATCGTAGTTTAATTAGGGCTGTAAGCGCTCTACATGCTATTTCCGGCTAGGCAATATAAAATCCAGTTCGTCGTTTAATTAAAACATTTTCTTAACTATTGGATGCTTAAATAAAAAAGTTCGAATAATTATATGTTTAGATCATTATTTTCATGACTAACATTTTGAAGCTCCTGAACATGTTTGATAAGAAGTTTGATTCTTGAATCTTGTAAGATAAGAAGAATAATAAAGAAAATAAAATATTCATGAACAAGCTCGTTTAATAGTTTGAAACAATCATTAGGAATGATCGCAAACATATTTGTTAGTATGCTCGATGAAGCTCGTTCATTAAGCTAATAAATATTCAGAAGTAGAGCTCGTTTATAATCTTATAAGTCTCGTTATTTAAAGCCCGATAAGCACAAAATGAATCGAACATGAATCGAACCTGAACAAAACACAAACCAAATATGAATATACATCAACTTAAACGAACCAAACTTGAACACGAACATGAAAGCTCGAATCGAGCATGAACAAGTTAATAATAAATGAACATGAATATGAGCAAGCAAATGCTCGGCTCAGTTCAATTCGTTTATAGCTCTTAATTATCAAATTAATCTAAGTAATTAAATTAATATAAATTAAAATATAAATAAATAATTACATAATTAATAATATAAATAGTAATTAAATTAGGTTACTAATATTCTAAATAATAATTAGATAACTATTCTAAATAGTAATAGTAATTATGTAATTAGTTCAAATATTAATATTTATAATAGTAATTGGATAGTTAAACTAATTAATATTCCTAAACTATATTATTAGTTGAGTTATATAATATTATATAATTAGTATTCTAAATACTAATTATATTATTAATTATTATTTGATAATTAAATTAGTTTCTAATCATAAAGAATAAGTAACTTGTATTAAAATATAAATTAAATTTAAATTTTTAATGAACTCACCATCTTAATTGGATTACGTTGTTAAACAGTTTCACATGATTTAATGAGATTTAACACTTATTTTCAGAATAATTTTAGCAGGATTTACTAAATCTGAATTTACATGATTTATTTAAATCCTAATGGTTGCAAAACAGCCCCAAAATGTGTATTTCCAACTCCCTTAATTTATGTTTGAATTAAGCTCTAAAGTATGTTAGTTAAATTATCTTTGATTAATTACAATAGCTCACATATGTTAATCATAATTACAAGAAATGGTATTTTAGGATTTAGGATTTACTTTAGCTTCAATGACCTCTATGGGAGAAACTCTGCACGGCCCCTATAAATCCAAGATTTAGTTGATATTGGGTATGTTATCTGATTATTAGCTGAGGAGTGCGAACGGGGAGAATCGTCCGCACAAGCATTGGGTACCTAGCGGTACCCGCACTCAGTACCGTTGGGTACCACTGGGTACAGGTACCCAGTGCTTGTGCAGATGATGCGCACTCCACACCTAATAATTTTTCGTTATCTTGGGTATGTTAAATCTTTAGAACTATTTTGCTAAAATAGTCTTTAAATTCTGTTAAATTTCGTAAAATTGTTTGGCAACATAATTCAAGATTTAAGGCAATTGATTCATTTATAAATTAAATTTAAGATGTTATAAATTTAATTGAGTGTTAAGTACAAGTTACTTATTAATTTCACTTTTATTTATGGTCAATAAGTTATAATGATAAATCATTTAATTACTAATTATAGTACTATTTATCAAATTACTTACTTAGGTGTTAATTTAATAAGTATTTGACATCTAATTATATTAATAATTATCTAATTAATTAAACAATTATTTTTGAAATAACTAAGCATTTAACTAAGATTCCTATTAATGATTTAATTAATTTTAAAGTATTAATTAATTATTTAATTATCAATTTTGTCATTAATTATCAAATTAATCATTTAAATATTATTCTACTAAATATTTATTTAATTATTATTTATAATGTTATATAATAACTATTTCCATTTGAAATTTTATTAATTAAACTATTTATTTTAATTTCTAATTTCTAATTATTTAATAAATCTAGGTTTGCTTTTCATCTTCTTCATTTCCATGTTATCATTTCTTTTCCTCATTGCCAAATCTTCATGACTATACTTCAGCCTCGCGTGCTTTGCATGAAGTAGTGTGTTGAAAGAGTTGCTAAAGAAGCTTCTTCACCTCCTTTAATGGCGTCAGGTCGGAAGTCATAACAGGAGCTCGCTCACTACGAAGGTAACCATTGTTATCCCTTTTGAGCGCATCTTCGACTAAATCCTGTAAATCCATCAAACTATGAGATTTAGTAAATCTAGGATTTACAAAAAGAAAGGGAGACAGAAGATTTATTCTGCTGTGAAATTTAGCAGAAATTCTATTAAATCTTGTTGCCAAACAACCCCTAAGGGTTTGCATTCAATAGATTAGAAAAAATATCAATTATATATGGAAATTTTGATTTTTATATGTCTCATAATATTCATATTAGGAAAAATATATATATTTTAAATATATTTGAAAATGTATTATACAACAACAACAAACAACAACATCAAGCCTTTATCCCACTATATGGGGTCGGCTACATGAATCTTTTTTCACCATTGTGCCATGTTAATACTCAAATTCTCATTTAAATCTAATGAAGAAAGATCATTTCTAATATTTTCTAATCAAATTTTTTTAGCTCTACCTCTACCTTTCTTAACATAAGCCAAATCTAATACATCTACTCTTATATCCGGGTCATCAGAAGGCCACCATTTTATGTGACCAAACCATCTAAGGCAACGCTCTCTAATCTTTGCTGCCACTGGAGCTACTCCAACTTTTTTCACGTATATGTTAGTTTCGTATCCTGCCTTTAACAGTAAAACCACTCATCCACCTAAGCATCCTCATTTCTGCAACACTTAACTTTATATTATGTTTCCCTTTTAATGGCCAACATTCTATGCCATAAAGCATTGTAGGTCTCACCATCATCTTTTAGAATTTTTCCTTAATTTTGAGGGGCACTTTTCTATTACACAACAGGTTCAATGCATTCCTCCACTTCAACCATCCAACATGATATCTAAAATGTGTACTATTATTAATGACTTGATTGCCCAAAGTCACAATCCCTCCACTAGATCTATTACTATTAAAGTTATATTCCATGTATTTGATTTTAGATCTGCTCAAATGAAAACCTTTATATTGTAAGGTTGACCTCCATTATTCAAGTTTACCTTTAACTCCCTCTCGGGTCTTATCAGCACGAAGAATATCATCAACAAAATGCATACACAAGGGTACTTCCTCTTGCAAATGTCTAGTAAGGACATCCATGACTAAAGCAAAAAAAATATGGGCTTAAAGATGATCATTGATGTAATCCAACTGAAATAGGAAAATACTAGGTCAAACTACATTGTGTTTGAACACAAGTAACATCTTATGCATATATATCCTTAAAGACTTGAATATAAGCATTATTAATCCATTTCATTTCTAAAACTCTCCATAACACTTCTTTTGGAACTTTATCATATGCTTTCTCAAAATCAATGAATATCATATGCATATCCTCCTTATTCTCTCTATGCTTCTCCATCAAACCTCAACAAATGTATGACTTCCATAGTTTGCTATATCTCACAATTAGAGAAGATGGGATTACAAAATTCAAAACACTTGGTAGATCTCCTATAGCTATAGTAGAGATTGTCGGAGAAGAAATGAATGTTAATGACTATAGTCAAATGATGAAGGTCAAACATTGATTGTCAAGAAAAGATGGTCAATTGATAATAGTCGGGCAAAGATGATTAGAAGACGACTGTCTGGTGATGTCAATCAAGCAACGATACTCAGGAGATAAAAATCAAGTAACAATGATAAAGAGGTCGTAACTTGGATGCAATTGTTGGCATACTATAATCATGCAATGATGGTTGGATGTTGATGGACAAGTGATGGAAAATGGCCTTGATGGTTGGGCAAAGCTGTTGTTGATGCCTGGTGGTGATCCTCAACGTCAAACATTGGTTGGAGCTCTAAGCTCTATCCACATTTTAGCTTAAGGTTCATTTTCATGTGAAGAATAAAAATTTAATTATAATTTTTTAGAGTGACATTTTTATTATTTTGGACAAAATTCCAAGACACTTTATCAAACAACCAAAATTAATTTCCAAGCTATAAATTATTCTTTTAACATTTAAATTCGTTCTTGATCTTAGAATTAAGTGTTATTTAGCGCATTAGATTCCATCCGCCTAGCCACTTATGCTTCATTTGTCATAGGTTTTTATTGTTTTCTAGAGTGGCTTTTTAGTAAAAAAAAATTTGAACTAAAATTTTTTATATTTGTAAGCTCCTTTAGAAATCAATAAAAAAACCATCTCAACCGAAGCCTTATTTTGATTGTAAACAGACAGAGATAGTAGATCATTTAATTCTTCAATTATTATCTTGAAGTTTTCAATCACATTTCAAATACTTGATTTAGGTTTCATTCGGGACGACTTTTTCGACGACTTTTTAATTACTTCGTAAAAGTCATCCCAAACTCGAAATAAGATCATCTTCAATGTCAATGGATTAGTATGATCAAAACATTCAATTTTGCTAAAATAAGAGTTAAAATAACCCTAAAAATAATTTCAAAATTTTATAATCAAAATATTACATCTCAAATGAACCTTCTGTTGAAGAATAAATACTATTTAAAGCATAGTTTTCTTCTTCTAACAATCAAAGAAGCCCCAAGTCAAGTTCTTCATCAATTAACCTTCTGGAGGACTTTTTCCTCTTTTTTTTTTCTTTCTTTTTCTATCAAATATATATAGATTGTTGAATCTTTTCTTTATTGTGTTGACGTTAAATTTAAGCTTTATATAATGGAAGAATGGCGAGCAAAATCGGAATAATCCATTCGACATGATTATTTTTAGAAGGATTTGTTTATTTGAGTCATATAGAACTTGGTATTAATTAAGTAATTTTCTTTTGCTTTCGCTATTATGCTTCCAACAGCACAGACAAAGCCAAAAGGTTTTCCAAGTAAGGTTTGATTTGAACTTTATTACTGTTTTTTAAAATAATTTTTTTCATAAAAAATTTTAGTTCAATAAATTTTTATATTAAAAAGCTATTTAGAAAGCATTAAGAAAGCTGTCTCAAATGAACGAATTTCTTACTGCTTTCTAGAGCAACTTCCTAGTACAAATATTTCTTCTAAGCAGTGATAAAAAATTATCCCAAACGAAACTTAAATCTTATAAATTTGAGCAAAGTTGAGACTTTCACTATTCACATTTAATAAAATTTGAGTTAGAATATATTGATCAAAATTTAATCATTCTTTGATATTACAAGCAAAGTTAAATCTTTTTATTTTTTTAACGAAAACTATTCCGTATAATTTCAATATTAACCAATTATAATATCAAGAGCAAGATATCTATTATATATCAAAAGTTACATGATAAAAAACCACAAAAATGAGAGATTGCATTTTAATCACTTTTAGGAGAGATAAAATTCTTGAAATCATAATCTTTGAAGACATAAATTAGATTCAAGTTACCTATCATGATCATAATACTTTTACTAACTAGAATGACATATGAAAATGACCTAGAGTAGCTTTATCTCTTTCCTCCCCCATTTCGTCTCTTCTCTTACTCTGACAATGCATGCACAATTGAGTGAGGGGAGTGCGAGTTTAATCAAAATGGATTAAGATATTTATATTAAAAAAAAGTTTTTGGCCTAACGCCGCAGCACTCAGATCCCAATGCTACAACACTCTTTTAAGGAGCTCACAACATCGGAACACTAAATTAATTTCCATATATTTTAGAGAGCGCAACGCAACCATAGTGCTTTCCAGTGCCGTTGTGCTCTCAAGCATCACTTGCACACCAAAATGTCTGAAAAAAAAAATATATATATTTTAAATTGTTGTTATTGCATTTCAGGTTAAGATGAATGCATCCAATGTGGGAATTGGTACAATTTTGACACAAAAGAGCTGATCAAGATAGTTAAAACTTAAAACTATGCTTCGATTGACAACATTGTTCCATATATGAACATGAGCTTTTTGTTGTTGTACAAATGCTAACATAATGGGAGTATTTTTTTCTACAACTAGAATGCTAAACTATGCTTCGATTGACAAAGAACTGGTGCTTGTAAGGTTACTAACTCCTGAAGCTGCTGTCGCACAAGCCAGCTCATAGATGTTCAAATAAAAATTAGTGTTGAAAATGTTAAAAGACTAAGGCTTCGTTTGGGACAAATTTTTTACTGCTTTATGAAACAGCTTTGTAGCACAAAAAATTTCAATTCCAAAAAAAAATTATAGTAAGAAATTACTTCATAAAACAGTAAGAAAGCTGTCGCAAACGAAATCTAATATGCCGAAGATTCAATCTTTGATGTAATTAATGTGGCTACACTTTTTTTAAGTAGGATTGTTCATCTTCACAGAATTCTATACGGTCTCACATTTGAATGAGAAGTAAAATTCATCAGTTGCTTTTGGCATAAGTTATGCAAAAGAGTTCAAACGAAGTTGTGTTTTAGCTTTGCCTATCACTCTTTAATAGACTGCTATGCATACATAACAAATCACGCTTTAGACAACATGTTGCATTGTCTTGTGGGGAAGATCATTGATGATAACAGGACGAGGTTTTAAATCAAGTTGAATTCGCCCATAATTCAATACTTAAATGATCAATAGGGAAGACACCATTCAATATAGTCTACACAAAGCGACCAAATCACATTGTATATTTTGTTGTTATTCCAAAAAGAGTGTAGCGAAGGTGTAACCAATGTTGTTCAAGATTTTGAATCCATGCAACAAGACAGTTAAAATCGCCTCATTGCAAGCAGTGAGTATTAAAATTAGGCAATTGATGTTTATTAGAATTGCAAGGAATTTGAAACAGCAGATCTTGTAATGATCCAACTACGCGGAGAAAGATTTCCTCTTGGAACTTATTCAAAGCTCAAACCATGCAAACTCGAGTCAAGTTCTTCCAAAGTGGGAGAGATTTGATACAATCATTAATCCTATGTTAAGTTAAAAGCATAATGTTTAAATTTTCTATAACCACTTGCTTTAATTCTATTTATGTATTTTACTCTCACTTATTAGCATTAGAAAGATCTAATTAGTTACTAAAATTGTTAGTGTCACATCTCCACCTCTAGTTTTAATGATTATAATTATTCTCTAATCTTTTACTTTTTCTCATTATATTGCATCATAGACATTACTAATCCATATAATATTATACAATAATACAAATAATATAGCTAAAATTATTAGTCAAGGAAATTCAAATAGCCAGGTTAAATATTTATAAATTTAATTAAATAAAATATTTTTAATTAATAATATTCCTACGATGATGGAGGAGCCGACAATGAAACTCGAAGAAAAAAAAAAAAAGAGGACCCAACAAACTACGCCGTCGTGGGCCCAGTCACCGTTGGCCACTGATCAATTCTGGAAGCCACCGGCGACTACAAACTGGCCGCCGGTTGCTCGACCCGACGGTACTAGCTGCCCATCACATCTCGCGAAGCTCCGTTTCCCCTTCGTCTTACATAGAGATGATCACATAGCCAAAATATATTGGCCATCTCGCGGGACTTCATAAGCTCACCAAGAGGTTAAAAGATTCTACTTGCTCGCTCGATTTTATTTTATTTTATTGGATACATAGATGTCGAAGGATTCGATTACTGCTGAAAGTTTAAAGTTCAGCGATTTCCTCAGGCAGCCATTAAATGATCAGATCAGTTTCTTCGATTCCCCTGTCTCAAATCCCCGGAGCAATGAAGGGGAATCCCAGGAAAGGTCCGAGATTTTCTCCGATGAGTTGCTGCATTCCATCAACCAGATGCTCATGGAGGAAGACGCAGACGACAAGTATGTTATGCTTCAGAGTCATCCAGATCTAGAAGCCACAGAGAAGCCCTTCTACGAGCTCATCGCCAAAAAATACCCTCCTTCGCCGGATCGACCATCGCTCTACTCGAGCCCCAGCCCAGAGAGCTCCGGCGACAATCAGGGTAATAACAAAGTCATCAGGGGCATCGATTTCTTCCAGGCCAACTCTGAGATCGCTGAGTACCAAAATTGGGATATTTACCCTTTTCATCAGTCTCAAGAAGACCAATTCACGGATCATTTTTTCAAAAATCTCCCAGCATCTGAGTACAATAGGGGAGTTGAAGAAGCGAAGAAGTTCCTCCCCAGTGAGCATAAGTTGGTCGTCGGTGTTGGAGAAGCAGATCTCTCCTTGCCACAAGAATTAATCGAAAGAGCAGGAAGGAAACAGAATCGTCATTCCGATGCGTCGGGCTACGACGAGGCGACAAGAACAAAGCAGTCGGCTTTCTCGTCTGAAGATTCAATGGTTTCATTGGAGGCGTTAGACGAAGCCCTGCTCTGTTATGGCGATAAGTTTCCCAAAGTCGTGAAAACGTTAAGGGAGAATATATACAAAGAAGCAAGCAAGTATCCCAAAAATACCAAGCCAAAAGAAGTCGGTAATAAGAAAACATCGGAGGAGGAAGCGGATATCAACACTCTTCTCCTCCAATGTGCACAGACAGTAGCCATAGGGGACAACCCTAGAGCCTATGCGATGCTGAAGCAAATCCGGCAGCATTCATCTCTTCACGGCGACGCATTTCAAAGAGTTGCACACTACTTCGCCGACGGGCTCGAAGCCCGTCTATCCGGAACTGGGAGTGAGGTCTACCGTTCTCTTGTATTCAAGCGAAGAACAATCAAGGATGTATTGAACGCCTACCAGTTTTACCTCGCCTCTTGCCCCTTCAAGAAGGTCTCTTATCACTTTGCGAACCAGACTATTTTAGACACAATTCAGAACGCAACCAGAGTCCACATAGTAGATTTCGGCATCTACTTTGGCTTTCAGTGGCCGGTCTTGTTAAAGTTACTATCTTTAAGGCCCGGCGAGCCGCCAAAGCTTCGCATCACCGGTATTGACATTCCTCAGCCTGGCTTCCGCCCGACGGAGATGATAGATGAAACAGGCCGCCGGCTGGCGGATTATGCTGAGCAATTCGGCGTCCCCTTTGAGTACCACGGAATCGCAGCCAAATTCGATGATATCAATGTGGAGGAGCTTTGCATTAAAGAAGAAGAGACGCTTGTTGTGAATTGTTTGTTTCGCTTGCACAGCCCCGCTGATGAGACAGTCGTTGAAAACTGCCCGAGGGATAAGGTGCTCAACACCATTAGAAAGATGAACCCAGCTGTATTTGTGAATGTTGTTCTGAATGGAACCTATGGTGCTCCATTCTACATGTTTAGGGTTCGAGAGGCACTGTATCATTATTCTGCGTTGTTCGATATGCTCGACTCGACGACGCCGAGGGAGAGCGAGAGGAGACTAATGGTGGAGCGGAATTTGTATGGGCCGCTGCTGATCAATGCTATCTCTTGTGAGGGAATGGAGAGGGAGAGGCCGGAGACTTATAAGCAGTGGCAAGTGAGGTGTTTGAGGGCTGGCTTTGAAATGGTGCCTAACAGCAAAGACTTTGTGAAGAAAGTGAAGGATTGCGTGAGATCAATCTACCACAAGGATTTCACCATGGATGAAGACGGTCGATGGCTGCTTACAGGATGGAAAGGTCGCCTCTTGTGTGGTCTCTCTGCTTGGAAACCTTTGTGCTTTTAACTGGCAATGGAACGTATTAGGGCATTGAACTCCATTTTTCACTGCAAAATACAGCAAAGCTTTAAAATACCGTTGTGTTGCTCCAATCAAACGTCATTTTATGTGCTTCTGGGAAGGTAACGTTCCTTCTCACTTTCGCGCATTTTTCTGGTTGAGAGAACAAAATAGCGTAAGTGAACAGTGCAAGTAAATGGCAGAAGATTTGGCGTTCGGCTGGAGCGACCGAACGACGCCATACGCTCGTTTGGCGTTTGGTTGGAGATACTCTTAGTGGTGGGGAAGCATTTTTTTTTATTCATGTGATGCAGATGAATATCCTGGATTTTAGTTAAGGGATGATTGTGCAATTTATGATTTCTTTAAATAAATTTGTAGGGTAATTCTGTCATGATGTTAATTTAATAGGATATTCAAATATGTTGTAAAATATTTGAGAAGATGGCGATATTCATTTGGATTGATTCTAACACTGATTATTATTGATTGCTAAGAAATTTATAACAATAGAAAAAAATTATATCTTTGTTTTTTATAAAGACTAAAGAAAAAAAATGAAGCATTACCCGAAGTTTTATGTGGAAAACTTAGAAAGGAAAAAATAATCGCAAGGCCTGATCCAAATGAACTGATCTAATATATATATATAGATATGTTACAAGAGTATGCTCCTTCTTTCAGTTGTAGAAGACATGATTACACAGTATATAATACAAGTTTAAATTTAATGTGAATGTGAAAGAGAATATTGGAGATGCATCAATTGGATATGGTGATAATGATCGGATGATAATGGCAGGACGATAATGTGGGGTAATGATGGTTTGATGATAGATGTTAGGTCATAGTATTTGGATAACGATAAATGGTTTAAGATGGCTGGGATATCATTGTCTAACAAAGATGTTAGGAGATTGCAATTAGGCGACAATAGTAGCTAATAATGGTTGTCGACTTCGAATGTCAATTAGAGATTCAAAGTTCTTCAAATCTTCAAGTTCTGTTTCAACTTAAATCTTAGTCCCTTTTATGTGGAAAATGAAGGTTTATTTATAAAATTTTGGGAGTAGTATTTTGATAAATTTAGTCAACTTTCATAGTACTATCATAGGATTGATATTGAATCTTTTGATTATAAATTATTTATTTAATATTTAAGTGCCTTAATGATTTACCCTTAACCCTAACATTAAGGTTTGTCATTGATACGTCATGCGAAATATCTTTAAATTTAGAACATTTATCTTATAAATTTGAAAATTTTATAATATTATTTTATATAAATTAAAATAGAGTATTAATATTGTTGCACGCTCGAATATACATAGCGATAGAGTTAAAAATTTTCATCTCAGCGTTATATGGATATCCAACACACAAACAGAAGAAAATAAAAGAACACCAAAATTTGTATGTGAAAAATCCTGTAAAAGAGAAAATCACATGTACACGCCAATTGAAGTGATTCCACTAGTGCTTGATAGATTATAAGTGACTAACTCGTCCCTGAAATTCAAGACAATAATATTACAATTATGAGCTATAGGGTTGAAATTCATTTACGAATGGAGATCGAAAATCTGACAATATTTGTTGGTTGGGTGGAAATATGGCTTCAATTGATAGTCATACAGAAGTCCGACGCATGTCGACGGTCAGGCAAAAGTCTGACGTTAGTTGGGTGGTAGGTTAGAAATCCAGCGACAGTCGGTGGCTGGGTTGAAGTCCGACGATAGTTGAGGAGGAATCTGGTGGCAAGAGAACTTAAGTTTATCTTCTTCGTTCTCTTCCTTGCTTTGTTGCTTGGGTCCCACTCCATGAGAAATGAGTGGTCTTAAGTGGCATAATCAGTAAATAGGAGGTAGATCAAGGGTAATTTGGTAGTGGTTTGAAATTTGAATGGACGGTAGATATTGATCCCCTTGATCATGAATCATTTATTGGGCATTTGAATGTCTTAATGATATCAAAATTCGATGAACTTGGGCTCGTTGGATTCATCTCGTCGAGCCGCTCAATTCGATTATAAGCATATTACGTTTAGAAATTGTTTGAAAATCTAAATTATAATTTGAACCCTCAAAAGACGCTTCGGGTTTTTGATTTGAACCCATTTGGGCTCGGATATGGGTCGAATTTGGTGTCGTTGAGTCGTCATTTTGAAACGTTCAGTTTGACTATAAGTTTGCTGAAATAGGAGTTCGGATGATCCCAATTTTAATTTTGAAAATTTCCAATTTGATTTTGCCTCTAGATTTGTGTGCGATCAAGATAAATTTTTGATAATGTATAAAAAATAATATATTTTTTAAAGAAAATTGTAGGAGAGAAAAAAATTTCCATTCATTATATATAAATCGGGTGGATTTACGCATTGACCACCCTATGCTTCATCCGCTGTCTCGCTGATGACCGGTGAACCTCTCGAAGCCACCGGCGTTCGCAGGTTTCCGAGAGTCCGCTAGCAAATCGCCAGCAATATAAGAAGAGGTGTTAGCGCGAAGGGTCATACCGTCCGGCGAGACTTCAAAGTCTCATAGCTCGCTCCTGCGGTAGAGGGAGAGGTAACCAACTACACCTTTTGCTTGATTTTTTTTTCAAAGGTTTTTTTCATTACGTATTGCTCTCCATGGCTTGACAATCCTGGATTTCTCTGTAACCACATAGATGATTTGCTTTGCTGCAGATATGTCGAAAGATTCGACTGCTGCTGAAGATTTCAATTACAGCGATTTCCCCTTCTACGAGCAGAATAACTTCGATGAATCCCCTGTTTTTAGTTCTCAGAGCCATGAGAGAATATCCCATGAACCCTCCGATCTTTTTGCTAATATGGTGCTTGAGTACATCAGCCAGGTTCTCTTAGAGGAAGATGCGGACGACAAGAGCGACATGCTTCAGAGTCATCCAAATCTCGAAGCCACAGAGAAACCCTTCTATGAGCTCATAGGTGAGAAGTACCCTTCTTCGCCAGATCAATTCCCTCTCTACTCCAGTCCAAGCCCTGAGAGCCTGGACAGCAACAGGAGCCATAGCTCAAACAGCAGCGGCATCCAATCCTTTCACGACAATTCCGAATTCCCTGAGTACCAAAATTACCAGATTCCGCTTTCGCAGTCTTCTCTTAGCTCCGTTAATGGCGGTGGGAACGATCTTTTGTTCAAAACCCTCCCCACTATCCAGTTCGAGAAGGGAATTGAAGAGGCCAAGAAGTTCCTCCCAAGTGTAGACAAGTTGACCCTCAACGTTGGACAATTAGATCTGACCTTGCTACAAAACCCCATCAAACAGGAAAGAAGGCAGAAGAACCGCCATTTCGATGATTCAGGCTTCGAAGAGACGAGGAGAATCAAGCAGTTGGCTCTCTCCTACGAAGAGCCGGTTATTCCCTCAGAGATGTTCGACGATGTACTGCTCTGTAGTTGCGAAAGGTTTCCCCAAGTCGTGAGTGCAATTCGAGAGAAGATGTACAGAGAAGCGGGAAAGGATTTCAAAAATTCCAACCCCAATGAGTCAGGCGTTGGTCGGAAGTCTCGCCGGAAAAAGCAACTGAAAGAAGAGGTTGTGGATTTCAACACTCTTCTTCTCCACTGTGCACAGAGCGTGGCCAACGGCGACAACCCTAGAGCCTACGAACTTCTGAAACAAATCCGGCAGCATTCGTCTCCTCATGGCGATGCCTCTCAGAGGCTCGCACACTACTTTGCCAATGGTCTCGAGGCCCGTCTCGCCGGAACCGGGAGTGAGGTATTCCATTCCCTTGTATCCAAGCGTAGGACCGTGAGCGACGGGTTAAAGGCCTACCAGCTTTACCTCGCCTGTTGCCCTTTCAAGAAGATCACCTATTACTTTGCAAATCAAATTATTTTAGGCACAATTCAGAACGCAACGACAGTCCACATATTGGACTTCGGCATCTACTTCGGCTTCCAGTGGCCGGCTTTCATACACGAGCTATCTCAACGGCCAGGCGGTCCGCCGAAGCTTCGAATCACAGGCATTGATATTCCTGAACCAGGCTTCCACCCGACCGATAGGATAGAGCTGACCGGCCACAGATTAGCCGAATTCGCCGAGAGGTTTGGCGTGCCCTTTGAGTACAACGCAGTAGCAGCCAAGTTCGATGAGGTAAAGATTGAGGATCTTCGCATCGAAGAAGGTGAGATGCTTGTGGTGAATTGCTTATTTCGCTTGCATAACCCAGCTGACGAAACAGAAACTGAAAACTGCCCTAGAGATAAGGTGCTGAACAACGTCAGAAAGCTGAAACCAGCTCTGTTTGTGAATGTGGTTGTGAATGGAACCTACGGTGCTCCATTCTTCATGAGCAGATTTCGCGAGGCATTGTATTACTTCTCCGCCATTTTCGATGTCCTCGATTCGACTGCCCCGAGGGAGAACGAGCAGAGGATGTTGGTTGAAAGGGATGTATTTGGGAAGCATCTTATCAATGTTATATCCTGTGAGGGATTGGAGAGGGAGAGACCAGAGACTTATAAGCAGTGGAAGGTAAGGTTCTTGAGGGCTGGGTTTGAGCAGTTAGCCATACGCAAAGAACTTATAAAGCAAGGAAAGGATTGGTTGAGAACTTTCTACCATAAGGATTTTCACATGGATGAAGATGGCAAGTGGGTACTCGAAGGATGGAAAGGGCGCATCTTATATGGCCTCTCTGCTTGGAAACCAAGGTGTGTTTAATTTGCTCAATTGAATCAATTTGTTCTCCATGCTTTTAGGAATAAAGCTTAGCTAGCTCTGATGAACTAATCCATCTTTGGGGTTTAACTCTGAAATTTTTTCGAGTGGAGGAGATGCATGTGATAGTTTTTAGCAGTGGATCTGTAATTTTTGCCACCCTTACCATGTATTATTTAGGAGAAATTATTCTGTGGAGGTCGAGTCGTATTCTGGTTGGAGCATAATTAATCCTGTTTTATTGGAAAAGAAAATAATTTGTTTAACTAATAAGTACGAAAAATATTAAAAAAAAAACAAATTTATTTAATTTAACAAGTCAAGTCAATAACGTTCATGTTCATTAAAATTAAGCTCATTTTTCATAAACATTTTGAGGGTCATGGTTTAGATGAACTCGCAACAAATGTTCCGGTCTCTGATCTCATAATTGAAAACGATGGAAGGAGGTTCATTGCACCTGGCTTTCATCCGGTCATTCGTGACCTCACGCGACAAAATTGGATAAAATATTTGACCGCTTTGTACGGAGGTTGAGAGGGCCTTGGCGGTGCGAAACTTACGACTCGCATATAGGATGTGCGATAGCATCAAGCTTGCATACCAAGCAACCACCGGTTACCGGCGGCTGCAGGTTGCTGGGACCGAGCGCGACACCGATTTTTATTTTTTTATTTTTGCTGTTGAGTAATTTAATCATAATGATTAATATAATAATAGTTTTTTTTTTTTGTGTAATTGAAATGCGAGATTCTGACATTTCTGGCATATTTGGAAAAATAGGTTTTGATGTACGGTTATAAAAAAAGAGTTTTATGTTTTGTACTTGTCATTGGCGCATATTGGCTATATTTTTTAAGTGGGTTAAAATGAGTATTTAGGTTGGCTTGAATTTGAAATTGATGGGGTCCAATTCAATTGACTCAAATCTGACTCATTTTGCAAATGGGTCAGAAATTTAGATCCGGGCTTAACCCGCTAGGTTATCGGGTTGAGCTGACCCGACACTCTAACCCGCGTGTGCGAAATCGTGTGCTGCGAGCTTCAAGTACGAGCGTGCGGGTCGATTGTGGCATGGCGGGATTGCATGGAGCGGGGTGACTGGAGAGGTTGGCCTGGCGAGACTACACGGGTGGGGCAAGTGTGAGCATGCAGGCCTTTATTAGTAGGCAAGGGTTGCCTAACTGTATTGTGCGAGGGGTGTTGTGCATGTGGGTGTACGGATGTAGTGTGGTGAGGGCGGCCTGGTAGGACTGCATGGAGCGGGGTGACTGGAGAGGTCAAATCTGACTCAGGTCAATTTCGAGCTAAATTCGGGGCAGCGGACTTGACCCAATTTTTCAAAAAGGTCAAAAATTTAAATCCGGCCATTTGTTAAACGGGTTGACTTGAATCTTTTATTTTCAGTTCAGATTATTGGATCGAGTTAATAATTAACACACCTAAATTTTTTAGGGGACTTGTATAAATAGCATTTAAAAATTATATATATATATATATGACTTACAATTTTAAATAACATAAAAAATAAAATCTGGCCGTTGAATGAGTGGATTACATAAGGCCAGAAAAAGTCATGCTACATAAGATATTGACCATTTCCTGTGGGTTTCACATAGTGATTTTATTTTATTTCATGTAGGTCATAAGTTTTCAATTATGAGCACACCTAACTATATTATTTTAAGGAAAATCTATTCATGGTACCTGAAGCTGCTATGTGTATTTTGGATCACCTTTTTTTTATATATATTCCATTATTTGAGATTAATTCTCTCTTTTCTTTTGAAAGTATACCACCTTAGGAGCATTCATCCTAAATGTCAACGTTGACCCCACTCTCTAGGATGTGAACCAAATAAAATTTCTTAAATTATATATTTGTTGAAATTAGTGCATCAACAATGTCAAAGTTGAGATTAAAATGTCAAAATTTACCCTAAACAAATTAACTTAGCTCAAACTTAATTGTAGATGTCATTGTGTTTTAAAAATGTCAAAATTGAGATATGAACATCAAATAATAATTCAAAGGGATAAAAAAGGTTTAGATTTGACCAGTTTGCATGCTCCAATGCTCTTCCATCAAGAGTAATATGCATACATGATATGATAGATATGAGAGACTGATGACTAATGTAACTGATGATTGATAACAAATAAGATTGATAATATATGAGATACAGTACATGATGATTGTTTAATTGATGATATGATTGATATGTAGCTAAACTGAGAGGATATTTATATGAACATATGATATATGACGAGGATATGATTGATATGTATATGATGAGATTGTATATGAATTACATGATATAGGATATTGTTCATATTGACTGCTACATGTTTTTATAGTTATATGTTATTATTTTGTTTGATGCACTAACTTTAGTTGTAGATACTAATTACTTGCTGGTTTATATTCATTATGTGATTTCTACATATTTTTATGCAAGGATAATGATCCTATAGATGAGGTTGATCTGTGATGCAGGATTGAGTTTCATTCTACATTTCTCTCGTCTTTTGTAATCATAATGTATTTGTATTAATGGATTGTTGTTAGTTGCATATCATGACTATTATATATGTCATTATAGACTCTAGGTCAAGATGTAAATATTTGAAGAAAAGAATTGTAATTTCATTTTTCATTGTTTCTATAGCTCTGATTGTTGACTGAAAAAAAAAAGAGATATAATTATTCTAATTTAGATTATGAGGCACGGCATGGAATTACTCTTGAATATGACATAACAGCTCATCTATTGCAAAATTATGAGGTGTCAATAAGGCGAAGTTGATTTAAGTCCTCCATGGTTATCGAAAAATTAAGATTCGACTGAGCAATACCATAAGTATTTGCTAAATTTCCTCCAAAGTTTGAAGGATTGAAGCCTGTTTCTCCTTCATTGTGCATATTTAATAATCCAAGGATGGGTCTTAAGGGCCAACCAGCCATTGAATTGATGTTGCTAGGATGATTTAAGGTTTCATTTGGGTCGGCTTTTTGATTGCTTCTTAAAGCAGCTTTTCTGTACAAAAATTTTAGAAGAAGGGAAAAAATTTATCTCAAACAAAGCCTGAGTGTCAAACTATTTCATGCTAAAAAATATGTGAAGATAAATAAAGCATGTTTTTAATATTTTAGCATTGTATAAAAATCTAGTACGCACAAATAAAGTTAAAAGACATTTTTTGAAAAACTAAAAAATGAAAAATCACGGGGGCTGAAATAGTCCATTATATAATTAAGATATATACAAGAGTTTGCTCTTTCTCACAATTAAAGAAGATAAGATTACCTAGTTGAGAATAATTTTTTTATTTCCATTGTAAATATTGCAAATGAATCTAGGAAGGTGGATATGATTATCCATCTTGCTTATCCATATTAGCCATGAGATGTCTATGGTTGGATAACACAAGTTAAATAATGGGGTTGGATATTAATTGTCAGGCGATAGTGGTCGGAGTATGCAATTCAAGCAATGGTTGTAGTGGTTATTTATGGTGGTCGTCAATGGTGATTGTTGGGCAAGGTAATATAATACTTCAAATTTCTTTAGCTCCAAAACCTCTCTAATGTATATAATTTTTTGAGAGAGATTTTAGTAAATTTGATTAGAAGAAAAAAGAATTTATCAAATGACCAATATTAATATCTTGATCGTAGATTATTTATTAAGTATTTAAGTACATTAATGACATTAGAATTGAATGATATTGATCTAGTTGAATTTTTTTTTGTCGAGACAATTGATTTAACTAGGAGCATGCAAGATTCAAAGGCAATTCATTTCTGTTAGAAGAATGTAATAAATAAATAAATAGTTTGTATCTCGAATAGGACATGCAAGATTCAAAGGCAATTCATTTCTTCAATTAATGTCCAAAAGCTTATAAATATGCTTTAAATACTTGATTTGAGTTCATTTAGATTCAAATTAGATCATGTTTTGGGTAATTGAGTTCATTTCGGCGATACATTTTATTCAATCAAAAGTTTGTTAAAATTGGAGTTTTGAATTTAATTTTAAAAAATTCTAATTCAAATATTACCTGGAGATTCATACCGATCAAGTGAATATTTTGGAGCAACACCAATTATAATTTAGAGAATCTTGTATATTAATAATGGTATAATAGCATACTTTTAAAAAAATACTAGAATTTCATTATTACAAAAAGGTTATTTTTACAATTTGTTCATTAAGCCAACTAATTTGAAACGTAGCTAACTTTCCTTTGCATATATAGAACCCAAAACATATAATCAACCTCCAACAATTCTTACGATTAATTGCACATCCATCTTCTTTGAAATGAATATTCTCACTAGCGAGATAGAGAGAGAGTCAAATATTTATTTTTGTTGCGTTCTGAAATATTCATGGCGATAGAGAAATTTAAAATTTAACTTGTTAGCTTTGTATGAAGATTCAGCACACAATCAAATAAAAGAGAGTAGCGTCCATAAAAGACACTAGAGTTTTTACGTGGAAACCCCTGAAGAGGGGGAAAAACCACGGGGACTGACCCAATTTGAATGAATCCACTAGTGTTTGCAGTCAATTATAAATGAGGCCCTTCATTTTGGGGAAGGCCTTGATTTGATGTAGCAAATATACATCAAATAGAGTGCATTACATGGTGGGACTTTGAAGAATCAGTATTGACATGTTCGTTTTGTCGGTAGGACCATAGTCAGCAGGTGACGGATATCGGAAAGATCGTAGTCGGGTGACGGTGGTCAGAAGGACCATAGTTGACGGGCGACGAAGGTCGAAAGGATCGTAGTCGACAAACAATGGAGGTCAGAAAGATCATAGTTAGGTGACAGAGGTCGGAAGGACTGTAGTCGGCAGACGACAAAGGTCAAAAGGATTGTATTCATGGGTGACAGTAGTCAGAAAGATCATTATATGGTGACGGAGGTCAGAAGGACCGTAGTCGGTGAACGAAAGTGGTCAGAAAGATTGTTGTCTGGCGACAGAGGTAAGAAGGACCGTAGTCGCGGGCGACGGAGGTCAAAAGACGGAGGTCGAATGGATTGTGGTAAGAAATATCATTGTCTAACGACGGAGGTCGAATGGACTGTAGTCGATGGGAAACAGTGGTTAGAAAAATCATTGTCTAGTGACAGAGGCCGGAAGGATTGTAGTCGTTAGGCGATAATAGTCATAAAGATTGTTGTCTGATGACGAAGGTCGGAAAGACCGTAGTCGGTGGGCGACGGAGGTCAAAAGGATCGTAATTGATGGACGACAGTGGTCAGAAAGACTGTTGCCCGACAACGAAGGTTGCAAGGACTATAGTCGGCGAACGATGGAGGTCAGAAGGATCGTTGTAGGCAGGCAACTATGATTAGAAAGACCGTTGTTGGCGAGGGAGGTCAAAAGGATCGTAGTTGGTGGGCTATAATGATCAAAAAGACTGTAGTTGGGGGACGAAGTCGGGTGAAGGTGGTCGGAAGGATCGTAGTCGATAGGTGACGATGGAACCGTAGTCTGGAGACGAAGGCTGTAAGGACCGTAGTCGGGTGACGAAGGTCAAAAAGGACCGTTATATGACGACTGAAATTGGAAGGTCCACAGTTGACAGGTGACAGAGGTCAGAAGGATGTCATAAGGACCCAATCTTAAAGCAGCTTTTTAGTACAAAAATTAATTATTTTCTACTAAAAAGCTGCTTTAAGAAGCAGGAAGAAAACCGTCCCAAACGAAGCCTTAGCCACGCATCTGACCGGCTGCGCATGCCCAGCTGCTCGCCAGCCCATGCGCCAACACGCCTGCTTGCGCTTATCTGCTTTCCCCCGTGGCTGCCCGTGCTTGTCGGCGCCTGCCAGCACTTGCTGGAGCGTTCCAGTTTGCACTGTTTGAATATGATTATTTGAAAAATAATTAAATTTTTTTAAAATAAAAATATAGAAAAAAAAATTTAATTGCTTCTAGAAGCCTCTACGAGCTCTCTCAAATAATTTTTGTCCAAAATGAAGCTTAGTCCAATTCTGCCAAAATCTGAGCTCACACTATAATTTTCTTATACTAATGGCACCTTCCTTCGGTGTTCCTCTGTTTCTCTCCATCCTCCGAAGAGTTTGAATGGAAATTCTGAAGAACTTCACGTTCTCGTCTGATATTTGCTTTTTTTGGATCTTAGCATATAAATTTTCTTCAAAAGTCACGAATTTTGTTACACGGTATTGATAATTGACGAGGATTTCGCTTCAGGATTTGAACATCATGCAGACAAATCTCCACCTTCAAGCTTTCTCCAAAGAAATCCCCACCTCCGACGCCTCCTCTAACCCCCGACAGAGCTCAGGCCAAGACTTGCATGAAGACTCAGAGATCTTCTCAGAAATCGTTCTTACCTACATGAACCAGATACTAATGGAAGAAGACAGCGACGAGAAGCTCGATATGCTTCAGGAGCACCCTGCCCTTCTCGCCACCGAAAAGCCCTTTTACGATATCATCGCCGATACCCAATTGTCTTCTTCTTCTGCTTCAAATCGACCAACTTTTCCTTCGAACCACCACAATTCTTATAATGACAGCCTCAGTCCTCAGGGCGAACCTCCGGTCAAGTCTACGAATAGCCGTAAGACATTGCAGGGCGATGATAACTTGGAGGCAGAAGAAGGTAGATCCTTAAAGCAATCCGCTCTCTGTTTCGATACTGAGGTCCCGCTGGAGATGTTAGATGCCCTTCTTTTCAAAGAATGCAAGGGCAACCGTCAGGTTGAGACCTGTTATGAGACCTCCCATGGCAGAACCAAATCTGGGACGAAGAAGAAGCTGGAGAAAAAGGAATCCGTTGTTCTCGACTCCTTACTAATACAGTGCGCGCAGGCCATATCTGAAAACGATCTCCCACATGCCCCCACAAGCTTCTAAATCAAATCAGGCAGCACTCAACCCCTTTCGGCGACTCAAACCAGAGGCTTGCCCATTGCTTCGCCAACGGCCTCGAAGCGAGGATCACCGGCGGCGGCGGAGGCGGAAGTGTGAGCTATTACTTCCCGTCACCGCCTCCGGCAACCGTGTCAGATATGTTAAAAGCACATCAGATCTATCTCGCCGCTGCTCCTTTTAAGAAAATCTCCGATTTCTTCGCTCATCAGAATATACTTAACATCTCCGGAAAATCCAGGAGGCTTCATATCATAGACTTCGGTATCTACCACGGATTCATGTGGCCCTGTTTCTTGCAGCGCCTCTCAACCCTCACTGGCGGCGCTCCGATGCTCCGCATCACCGGAATCGACTTCCCGCAGCCCGGATTCCGGCCGGCGAGAGGCTAGAAGAAACAGGCCGGCGGCTGAGCGAATACGCCCGGCGGTTCGACATCCCCTTTCAGTATCACCCAATTGCTTGCAAGTGGGAGACGCTTCAGCCGGAGGATTTCGGAATAGAAGAAGACGAGGTCCTCGTCGTGAACTGCATGAACCGGCTGCAAAACCTCGCCGATGAGTCCGTATCGCCAAAGAACCCGAGGGACCAGGTTCTGAACACAATTAGAAAGCTGAAGCCGGATGTTTTCGTGCTTGGGATCGTCAACGGAACATACAATACGCCGTTCTTCTTGAGGAGGTTTAAGGAGGCGATGTTCCACTTCTCGGCGCTGCTTGATATGTTGGAGACGAACGTGGGGAGGGAAGATGAACATAGGAGGCTGCTTGAGAGGCATTTTTTTGAGAGGGAAGCGTTTAATGTGATATCGTGCGAGGGATTGGAGAGGGTGGAGCGGCCGGAGACTTATAAGCAGTGGAAGACGAGGAGTGAAAGGGCGGGGTTGGTGCAGGTGTCGTTGGATGCCGACATAGTGAGGAAGTCGAGGTTGAAGCTGAAGCGCTGTTATCATAAGGATTTCATGGTGGTTGAAGATGGAGAGTGGCTTTTGCAGGGGTGGAAGGGCAGAATACTCTATGGCTTGTCTGCTTGGAGGACAGGAGATAGGGCTATAAAGGTTTTGAGTTGAGTCAAGTAGGTGTTTGTTTATGTTTGAGTCGTTTATTCTTAGTTTGTTCAAGGTTCGGATTGAGCTTGATTCGAGCTTCTATGTTTGTGCTCAAGCTTGACATATAAAATAATAGATGTTTATGTCTGGTTTGTATTTGGTTGATGTTCAGTTCGTTTCTGGCTTATCAAGTTTTAAACAAAAGAGTCTTATTGAGCTATTAATGAGCTTTATTTTCTACACGTCTTATCGAGCCTACTAACAAATAATTATCTAGACTTTGTTCACAAATATATCTCGTCTGTGTTTTAAAGCTATCAAAAGTGGCCTAATACGTCGACAAAAATTGTCTTGATCAATCACAAATCTCGAGGCATATTTGAGTTGTCAACTGCCAAAATTAAAAACCAAGACCATCCAGACTCTAATTTTAGCAAATTTATAATCAAGAATGAATTTTTTGAAGAGACGAGCTTAAAGACATTAAAAATAGTCAAATCTGGGCTTGAATAAGCTCAAATCAAGGGCTAGCATGGGCGGATCCCCATAGAAGTGAGGGGGGCAAATGCCCACCCTCAAATTTTTTTTTTTTTTTAAATTTTAGAGGGTATTTTTTGGAATATTTTGGATACTTTAGGTATTTTGCCCCCTCTCAAAAAATTTTTTTGTCATAATTTTATCAATCCTAATCATTTTTGCCCATACCCTACCAAAAATTTTTTTTTTGCCCACCCTAAAAATAGAAGCTGGATCCGCCCCTGAGGGCTAGAAGTGTTATTAGAAATTTCATGACATTAATTGAATAATCAAATGATCTCCAAATTTGGTATGTTTATAATTGAATTGAGCGGCTCAACGAGACAAATCAAACGAGCCCAAGTTTGCTTAATTCTAACATCATTAAACCATTTTCGACGAAGAAGGCAGAGATGAAAACTATGATGCTCCTAGTACAGCTGTGGGGTTGCATATGAAATCGAAGGTGTCTTGATCCAACCGGCAAACTCGTTTCCACAAGAACTTCCTTACATCAGGCCAAGGAACGACTCGTCCAGCTTCTAAGATCCACAATTTAGCTTTCTACATGAATTGCGTTATGGCCTGATAGATCATATTTTTTTTCTTTTTTAAAATGAATTTAAATAGGATTTTGTTTTGAATACAAAATGACCCAATATGCTATAAGTCGCACTATAATGGAGTGCCATAAATCTCGCTATTCTCCAATCATCATTCCCCAATCATAATCCTCCGACCACCATCATCCAGCTATGAACCTCCAAACATCATTGCCTGACTATGATCATTCGATAATTATTGCATAATTATGAATCTATGATCACTATGATTCTTCAACCACCATTGCTCGACTACTGTCGTCTGACTATGATAATCTAATAATCATTTCCTTATAATGGTTCCCATATAATCATCACCTAAGGTTCTTTTATCATAGTTGCTTGACTATGATCCTCTGAACATCATTCTATATTTGTGTTCCTCTAATGATCTTTAATCAATTATAATCCTCTGATTACCATTGCATACTTATGATCTTTCGACCACCATCATTTAACTATGACCCTCAGCTTTTATTTTATCTATTACAGGCTTTTTCCAATTCAAGCCTTCAATCCACCTTTTACTTGGACCATGCAATGCTTCAGCTGTAGAGAGAGAAAGACTAATGGGGTAAAATATTGAAAGAGAGAGGGAGGAATGACTTTCCCTTGTGGACCAAACAATGAAAATTGATTTTGATTATTGAGACCTCCTCTAAAAGATTTGGCTAATGCTAAAACTAAAAGCCTAAAGGGGCTTAAAGGTGATTGTTTTAGTGGCTTAACAACAAGTTCGCCAACTAGAAAATCTGCTCTATTTTTTTTGTAATTCTTCCTTTTAAACATATATATTAATCCAAAGAAGTCACCAACATTTTTTTTTTGGACACAAGAGCATCAATAGTTCTTTTATTTTAACGTATTATACCCTTCCAAGTAAGATGACAAACATAATTATTTTAATTTAAGCTCCCCCCGCGAAATAAAATTTCTGGCTCTGCCACTGCAATCAAATCATTATTTTCCCACTATAGTTCACCGAACACCATGATCCCACACCTAACTACATTCCTCTAATCACCGTTGCCAAACTATGTTCTTCTGACCACTTTCACTCAATTACAATCCTTTGACCATAATCACCTAAACATGATCATATTAAAACTATCATATGACTCTAATCCTTCAACCATTTTCGCCCAACTATATTCTCTTTAGCGCTATTGCTCGCTACCACAACCCTACTATAATCTTGAAAAATTCAGCCATATTTTATAAACTAAATTTTAAATTCATCTACATCATTCATAACATCCATATCATGCTTGTTACACCATCCACTTAATTAATAAAATAAATAAATATACATGAAAAACTAATTTAAATTCAAATAAATTAAAACTTAACTGTACTTAATTATAAAATAAATCTATACAAATGATCTTTGAAGAATTGCTTGTGCTCCTGAGCAACATCTAGAATTTTTTTTTCTTTTAAACTAAATATTTATTGCATACACTATAATTAGTATTGCAAATATGATGTAAAACAATAACAATTCAATTATATTTTGAAAATGGTTAAGATTATTTGACAGCGACTTAGGCTTCGTTTGTGACGATTTTTTTATTGCTTTTTAAAATAACTTTTTAGTTTAAAAATTAAAATTTTTCTACTAAAAATATATTTTAAAAAAGCAGTAAGAAAACCGTTCCAAACGAAGACTTAATCACCATTCTAATAAGAAATATAATTGAAAGATTACTCAAATAACAACTAGCATAGTTTTTCTCTTAAGGAATTCTACCCTACTGAGTTTATTTTCTCTGAAGAGCGAACCAACACTGCAAATGGCTCTTAAGGTAGATGTGACAATGATTTCCACAAGTTCTAATTTCGCCCTGATGATAGTAATAATACAACAGAATTGCAAATTCTACAGTACAATTTATTTAGAGGTTCTTAGAGAAGGTTTAAACACAAAAAGGCTCAAAAACGTTCGGAGGTAAGTGAGAAGAGAGCCTTGAAGTCTGTTGTTGGTGTACCAGTACCCTCGGGCTTTGATGCGAGGTCAAATGCCTTGAATTTTGCCTCCTCAAACTGTAAAGCCTGCAGACAGATACAAAGGGATAACCTCATTCTGATTAAATTAAATTCAGATTATCCGGACCAAAACTTTTTCTACCAATAAATGTATAGAACATTCCTTGCGAGATGGAGAAATTATTACGTGCGGTCACCGGACCGTTCAGAGATGAATCAGGATGCGTCATATCACCCCGGTACATAGCAGTACATAGCACTGATACACAACAAATAGTGACGTGGCGTGTCCTGATTCGCCTCTGGACCATGTCCGATGACCGCACATAACAATTTCACGTGAAACAGTTGACAGCAAAACAGTAGGCTGAAGTCTGAACCAAATAATGATGATGCAAAGTATATGATAAATTCTTTTGTATGATTTATTAATTAGTAAGCAAATTTAAAGAAAAACTTCTGAGCAGACTTGCGTTAGTACATAAAATGTTAGCTTCATAAATAGCCCAGGTAAACATGGATGGGAACTCACCCAGTATGACCTATCAGTCAATCAGGCTCAACAAATTAACATAAGCCAAATCTAATATATCTACTCTCCTAACTGCCGGGTCGGTTATTGGAAGGACGCATTTACTATGAAATAATTAGATTATGAGTACTGGAATGCTCTTAGGATAAGTCTCTACTTCTTACATCACCTATCTTCCCTTTTCCTCAATTTATTCAAAGCATCCGCAAATCTTCTGTCAGGACTCTCTATCAGGGCATCTCCAACCGAAAATCTCATTTTTCAGTCCAAAATGCAGTGAAACTAAAAAATAGCGTGATTCATCTCCAATCGAACTCCATTTTGGGACCTTTGCATAAGGTAACCGCCTTTCTCCTCTTTGGCACATTTCTTCAGCAAATCCGGTAGACAGAAAAATAACACAGGTGAACAATGTCACACCAATATTGATGTCGCACTGTTCACCCGCAACCAAATATCGGAAGTTTTGCCATTCGGCTAGAGTTCGCGAGCGACGTCATTCATGTGTTTGGAGTTTGGTTGGAGATGCCCTCCACTGACATAAAAAGCTCCTCCATAATCTTCATGTTTCTAATCACACTCACAATCTTCTCTCCATTCATAAGCTCATTGATGACAATAATAATTCAAACTCATGTAATGCCTCCGGTTACAACAAAAAATACTTAAAGAACAATCAAATAAATCTTTAAGGATTATGTCGTAAGAGAATTTAGCCTATTCCTGATCAACCTTCCAAGCCTGTGCCCTTCCATCTTGTGCCATACTTTCTGGACATGCCTTATCCATGGTGTGTCATCATCAACTAGGGCTCCCAAGCAACTCCACACTTGAGAAGAGTTATGTAGGACAACAATTTCCTTCTTTATATATTTTTAATGCATCATCTATCTCTAATTCATGTCAACTTGCAAAGAGCCGTTGACTCAAGTTTTTGAATCACAGAATATTAAATACAAACCTCTAGGACCTTGTTGTGCATTATGATTTATGAGGACCCTCCCAGGTTATTTACACTGGAGGATATTGCCATTATATTTCCCTTATCGACGACTTCTCTAAACTTTGTTGGGCATTTCCCATGAAGAAGAGATGGGAAACAACTCAATAGTTAAAAATTAAATACAAACCGCTCTAAAAAATTTGTGTTCTAATGGAGGCAAATAAAATAATAGTACTGATTTCCACAATCTTCTCTCAATGGGGTATTACATATCAATATAATTATCCTTAAACTTTGAAAAAAATAGTGTTGCCAAACACAAGTATAGACACTGTCATTGAAAATGTTCGAAATTCACTTTTTAAATCTCCTTTAAAATCATTTATTGGTTGATACGCTTATAACTAAAGTATATCTAATCAATAAATTACCCTCCACAAATAACAACCTATATTTTCCATATTAGCTTCTCCAACAGAAACCCGCATAATACTTGCATTATAGTATTTTTGGTAGGAAATAACATCCCAAGTAACAATCTCATTCTTCAAACAAACTTGCTCCCAAATTCATTTATTGTATATTTTTTTGGTTACGCATCTTTTCACAAAGGCTACAATCCTTCATTTGATAAAAATGCCTCCTAAAATACATAATCCTATAAAAATACAAGTGACCTCAAACTCCATCCCGATGATGGCCATGTTGATAGAAAATCTCCTCCTTGAAAGGACTGGAGTCGATACAACTTGAATTATAAAATGCCTCCCAAAATACTATAAAAATACAAGTGACCTCAAACTCCATCCCGATGATGGCCATGTTGACAGAAAATCTCAACAGGAGGGATTAAATCCCAAATCAAACAAAAGCTCAAATTCTTGAAATAAAATCTATCAACTGAAAACTTAAAACTAAAAAATCATCCACCTCCCGCAACTGTTTATCAGGGGTGATAAATTTGAAATTAACCTCAGCTCACAAAGACTAAATGTTGTGTCGGGTGTATCACTACGATTCATCCTCAAATAGCCTCTTGCCAACAGGGACGTGGCACGTGCCCTCTGATCGGATGATTTTGCCGCAAAATGGCACCATTATATTACGATCCTAAAATTATTGCTATTATATGATAGGTTCATAACCTATTCGACCCCTTTAACGACTAGCCTTAATCGAAAGTTCTCTCTTGTTATCAGGAGGGGTAATTAACTATAGAGGCTTGCGCCTATAGGAAACCAAAACTCAGATCAAAAAAGTTCTCACAAAATGAGGGCGAAATCTCTGGGTAGTGTCTTATCTAAAACCCAATCTGCCTTATGAAAATTCCCCCAGAACCTAATCTAGTTAAAACTCTTTGTCGTCATCGTCACACAAACACTTAAAAGAAAAATAGACAGATGACGCAGAGAGACCGGGATCACACAATCAATAAAGTGGAATTTTCTTAAGCGCACATTAATATTTAATTTAATTATCATGGGCAATATGATCATTTGCTAGCTTAGGATAGGTCTGATTATTTGGGTTTATCTAGTAGAATTTCTTATAAAGATAGGTAATATGATAGTTAGATCATGATTATTAAAATGAAACAAATCAACAATGCTTAGCCTGTTTCTCCATCATATTAGGCTGTGTTTTGGTTATTCCCTCTTCTCCCTTCCCTCTTCTTCTTCCTCAACATCATTATGGTTTTTATAAATCTTCCACTACAGCTCTACACCAATAGAAACCATTAGATCGCTCACATAGAAGAAATCAATCTAGAACATAGGCTAGAGATTAGAAAAGTAATGATGCCCTTTTTGGAAGTATTAGCTTCAAGTCTTGGAGGACTTATGGAAGATGCCAAAATTTTGAATTGCAGGTCATGCAAACATACAAACTTATAATTGAAACCAGCTGGTAATAACAAAACCAGCCAGGTCTCATTTAGCATCTGGTTTGTTATCTGACAAGTTCTCTGGCGTAGAGTTTTCAGAAAACTTACAAACTGACAAGTTATCTGGCGTAGAGTTTTCAGAAAATAAGCATTGTGATTTAAGCTGGTCAAACACATAAAATTCTTAAACTTCATGATTGTTCAATCAATGGTTCAAAAACAAATTATCAGATGAGCAAATAGAAAAGTTTTACTGTTCAATCAAGAAGTAATTATACCTGTATGGAGACTTCTGCAACATCAGCCCTAGCAATTGTTTTGGTTTCAGTTTTAAGGAGTTCATCATTTTTACCTACAAGGAGCTCCCGCAGGCCCCCATCCTTGTCCTGCAGCCCTCCAGCCCTGCTCCAAATAGCAAGAACAGTTTGATCATTCAAAGACATTTAGTCAAAAAAACTCATTTAACAGGAAACATGCAGCTAGATCGGAGGGCTTTTTTTCTAGAATGAAAGATCAAGCATATTAAAGAAGATCCCTTTAAAGTACAAGTACGCAATAATAATACAGCCTGGTGCATGGAAGAGAAGCTAAAAATTGTCTTTCACCATTTTTAGAATACAACTTTCAAGTATCCACAAAAGAATTCCATCAGCTTACAAGTCAACATTGCAGATTTTTTCATTCATCAAGTAAAATATGACATGATGGCATACCAATTTCCTTCTAAAAGTATTAAGCTGCTACATGCCAGGAAGATCGTATGAAAGAACTATATATGTATGTATATAACATATATTTCCAATACAGTCTCTAAAGTCTCTAAGTGATCTCTATTTTCTCATAAGTTTTTAATGCCAATAACTTTCTTGTTAAAAGATAACTTGCATGAGAACTAAAAGGCCACAACTACTACAGTGTCCAGTCTTTCCAAGGTGACTCAATTCACTGAGAAAATTTATACAGCTTCCAAGTTCATTTAAAGAGCACGTCCTACGTTTCCAACCATGCAATTGATTATTCACTGCATCTTAAGAGAAAAAGACTAGTTAAGCACTTTGAGAACTCAGACCTCATTATTAGCATCAGAAAATTGACAATGGTGAGATTTACTTGTCAGGTTTTGCTCAACATAATTAGATTTGAGGACATGGTTCTGCAGAGCAGGCAGCAAATTAAAGTCACTAAGCAATCTAAATCACAAAACACAGAGTAAGCTCATCCTTCAGAAACCATCAGTGTCATAATATGATGGCCAGCTTTTAGACGAAAGAGTAGTGGTAGTTAAAATGTGAATTTTGACACAACTTATTGGTATGAAATGGGCTCCGATCTATTAGAAGAAAGTTGGTATAATCACCAAACATATCTACTAACCAATATAAAAAGTACCCATCAGGATGTCATTTAAGATAATGTCTTAAAACAAACCTTATAATTGTGTATGGAACACCAGAATCCGCCAGATATTGCTCTGCCTTCCGCTTCCACACCTGAAAACACAAATTTAAATTACAGCACAAAGTTATTCATTAAAGGCCATTATCTAAAAGCCATTCATAAAATTGCACTTAACAGTGCTTTGAAAATACAATTAGTACCAATTGTTATTGTCCCATTGCCTCTAATATCTTGTGTAAAAACCAGTAACATGAGGAAGAAGACGTAGATAGAAACAGGAAAGAACTTTCTACAGCTGAGATAATCTTGAGTAATGCCAATGATAAGTTTTGTCTATTCCGTTGGAAATAAAAAAATATCCACTACTCATCAACAGACAAAAGAGCTGCAACTAACCAAAAATAAATAGTAATTCGGACTGAATGATCAAAAGGAAAAAATATAAGAAAATAATGAGGAAAATTTTTAAAAAGAGCTTAATCTAAAGTTAATTAGGTGAAAGAAGCTTGATTTGGAGAAAATTAAAAAAGCGCAAAAACACAATAATTTTGTGCATTCGTTTGAAAACGCAAAAAAAAAAAAAAAAAAAAAAAAAAATAAAAAAAAAAAAAAAACTAATACGAAAAAAAGCATAATACGCAATATGATTGAGTATTCTAGCCAACAGTTTTTTTTTCCCTCCTTTACACGTTGCACTATAGGTTAACAGGAGTAGTCACGCAAAGCAATTTGGGTCACGAGAGGATTCATGCAAACCCACATGGGAGGGAAAGAAAAAAAAAATGATGCCTCACTCTGCATCAATGTTCATTCTGGAGCTATAAAAAGCAGTAGTGTTTAGAACAGAAGGCACAGATGGCTTATTTTCAAAACTTTACAGTTTATACGAATAATATTTTTTTTTTACATGAAATTTGAGTTTAAATATAATTAGATTATTTATTTATTGTCCTAATTTTTTTACTAAGATACAAAATAATTGATTAAGAAAATTTATATTAAGTCCCTCAAATTTGGCTAAGAGTTAACTTGCTAAGGCATATTATTTATATATAGATATCATGTTATAAGCCTTTTCTGATTTAAAGTTCTATATATTTGTCTTATTTTTATATTATCTAATTAAAATATTAGATAAAAAAACATTTAAATTGATATATAAAGTTAAAAATCACAATTAGCTCACTAAGGCTTCATTTGGGACGGCCTTCTTATAGCTCCATTTCACATTACACAAGAATATCGGTGCAACGGCCTTTGCACATTTTTTTATTAGAGGAGCTTTAAATGGAAATGTTGATAGAGTAATAGAGGATTTTAAAAACATTCATAAATTTGATAGGAAGTACTTGCAGAAATTTACGAAAAGCCATGGCTGAAATTAGATTTCAGCAATTTTAGAAAACCAACGACAAGAAAATTAGGAATATAACACACAAGAATATTTTTCTATTAAAAGTTTTATGAAAAAAAAGACAAGATACAAGTGGATCTTCAATTGGAGAGGAGGCTCTCCCACATCTCTATCCGCTGGCTAGAGCACAAACACTCTAAGAATAATCTAATTTCAGCATACAATACCTACCCCTAACCCTAGGAAAAACCCCCTACTTAAAGCATACAATAAACGACAAATACCTAAACAACCCTCCCCAATTCCCTCCCAAATCATCCCTCAAATCAGCCCCCAAAGCTACTTTCTTCAATCAGGAAAAATTTTCAAATTAATACCCTCCAAATCAGCCCCAAAATATGTCCTATTTATTTCCTAATTAATCCCCTCTAAATGAGTCCCCAAATCAGCCATCAAATATGTCTTCTTTAATTAGGAAATATTTCTTAATTAATCTCCTCCAAATTATCCCCTAAGAGCCGATCCAGAAAAGGGCTGGTAAGACCACCGGAAAGTCCGGTCCAAAAGGGACCCGATCTAACAAAAGAGTCGATCGATAATGAACCACAACATAAAAAACCTCAGAAAGCACCTAGTAGGAACGCCCCTGTCATAGATGTCATTTTGCGTTGTAGAAGTTAGTGGGTTATGCAATTTAATGTAAGAATCTAACTCTTTTGAGTTCACATGTCACATGTCTGTATTAGAATAAAATTAGTTCGGGTTTACTTATATTCGTTTATTTAATGTAAGAATCTAACTGTTATATTTGTTCATGTGGATGTAAATAATCATCAATCCAACATTTCTATAGTTATTATTTTCACTCTGGTACTCTATTATTACAACACGTGTGCACTAGACACATGAGGCCAATCCCATGAAAATATGAAATTAATTTGGACCATCCTAGAGCACTTAAAAAAGCGAATGCAAGGCTGATTTTCTATCGATTTATAGTTCGTACATAAATTTCGTCTTCTTCTAAATAACAGAAGTTGGAAGCTAGTCCACAATTAAAATGATAGGAAGAACTTGAGACTCACATATGTTTCGAAAGTATCATAATAATTAATACGGTAATTTCTTTAACAGCCGTAGCATTTTTATTGATAGACATCAGTTAAATACCTGAGAAAATTGCATGTAATTTTATAAATGCTAAGAAATACTATCTACTTACCAATATATTTCCATTCCCCAAGCTATTCAAAGGATGATTTAGGTCTGTACCACCCATAGAACCAACCAGAACAATCTGCTTCACCCCAGCAGCCTTAGCTGCATAAAAAAATAATTAAAAGTGAATTATCCACGATACTTGGATAAAAACTAGAATCAAAATGGCAACTTACCAGCGTCAATCTGATTTTTCTGACCAACCCAATCAACCTGAATTATAAAAAGTTTAATTGAAATTAAAAAAAAAAAAAGATTTCAACGAAAAAATCACAATTTGTGAGCTTACCTGTTCAGGATATGCTCCATCCTCAAAATAAAACTCTGGCCTCCCACCCTGGCTTGGGTCATACCCTGGCTTCATTTTTGGGACAGAACTAGTAAGAATGATAAGAGCATCTATTCCTTGAACTGCAGGGACGATGCTTTGGGCATCCCTTATATCAGCAACAAAAACATCATCAGCTCCTCCAATTTTCTCTTTGCTCTCCTCTGTCCTCACCAAACCCCTGGCAATATAGTTTTCTGTTCTCTCCTTCAATTTCTTATAAACAATTTGACCTGAAATAAATAAGATAACACGTTTTCATTTGATAATTTAAAGCTGACCCAACTGGTTGAGATAAGGCTGTTGTTGATGAAGATTATGAGGTAGAATTGGAGTGTAACACTCACAATTCATGAAAAAACCATTCACTCAAGTTGTTGCAACTCAGCTTATATATAGCTTATGAATCGGAAAAAAGGATGAAAGATATGACGGAGAATGATCTCCACAAGTGATGGACTATGGTTTCAAAGTTGGCTCACAAGATTGGCATCCAAATATTTGCTGCCAACTAAGAAAAACCCAGTCGCAAACCGAAATCACACTGGATATGCTCCCTGGATGAAAACTATGAGCGTACTTGAAAATCAACAATTAAAAAAGACAATCACAGATTTCTCAAAAATTATATGAATTTGATTTGGTAAATGACCCATATTCTAAATAGATGAAATAATGTTGCTAAAGAACTAATACGAGCTTCATTAAAGTCAATGGTTCACAAAAGTTCAATTTTAGGGTAAATTATAGATAGGTTCTTATCATATAAGGGCCATTCACGTAGGTCCGCATTATTAAAAACTTCCATTTGGATTCCAACATAATAGTCTTTCACGAAAGTCATTCCATTAGTGAAACAGAAATTGATAGACAAATATCAATGCACTATGACCGATTCTCCTTGCAATTGCACTACTTAACCCACTAGATACACTTAAAGTCGAGCAGGCAAGCTCACACAATAAAGGAGCACATCAACGTTCTCAAATTTGTGTGAACTCATGTGAATAGTGAAAACATAGATGAATGCTTTCACATATATGGCTAAAACAATAAAGTAGAATCATGGTTATAATCAAAAATATGTTTTGACATTTAAATTAAGTCAACAAATGCATCATCGATAAGCACACTATTGATAAGATATGCAAGCAGACCTTTCACTTTTTCTACACCTAAAAACCATACTGCAACTTTCCACTACAAGTTGCTCTCTGGCCATAGATCGCCAACAACGCAATGAATCTCTAACATGCGATACCTACTGCTTCAGCAATTGTGCAGAACTTGTTCCATTCTTCTGTTTATATACACTACTCTACAACCTGTAATATAGTATAATCTTCATCATTCAACACAATACATATTTCAAAGTTCTCTATACTCTTCATTACCATTCTTTTAACTGTTGCTGTTGAAATAAATCAGAACTTCTTCATAGTATCAGATCCATTAGCTTAGCAACAAGCTCTTTCTTTCTCTACATTCTTTCCACTTCATGGATGATTCAGCTAATTCTTCCACCAATATTTCCTCTTCTCAAAACCCGGACCTAACCAGAATGGTTGACACAACCATTCCTTTCTCCCTTAAATTTATTATGTCCAATCTCAAAAACATAGTGCACATTGAACTCAATAGCGACAATTATCCCATTTAACATCTCCAAATCCTCAAAATGTTTTCCACCAAGGGCTTTTTCGAAGGCTTTCTAGATGGCTCGACAAGTTGTCCAACCAAACTCATTATCTCTACTACCATTATCAAAACCTAGCCCATAATCTGCATTAAAATTCTACCCTACATACTCAACCTCACATCTTGCTTCGAAATATGGCTACCTCTTGAGAAATGGTTCCAACCCACCAACTAGTATCGAGTAACTTAGTTCAAAAATGAGCTCCATAATATATCCAACTCAATAACTGCACAATATCAAATCTCTGGCTGACAACAATGTTGTTGCAAGTTTACATATCGACCTGAAAGATATCATACTTCATATTCTCAACGGCTTACTCCCACATATCAAGCTTTCCAAACTGCTATGCAAACAAAACTTACTCCCATTAGCCTTGATGATTTCTATTCCCTACTATTAAGTGAAGAAATCAATATCAATATTGACAATTCGAAATACTTTCCTGCTATCAATAATTTCATCGCTCTTTCATCCACTCAAGGTAGCAGCTTTCTCCCAAGCAGAGGTCATCTCAAGTCCCCTTCGTTTTCCACTCAACACAACATTTCCTCTCCTCACCGAGATGGTCAAACCTCATCAACCGGTCATCCCATCCACCAAATCTATGGCAAAATCGGACAACAGTACTTAATTCTTGCCCCAACTATGATTTACAATACAATGCCACCTCCACACTTGTTGTCACTGAATTCTTCACTCAGAAGCAACCTCCTAACCAAAAAGTGTTGTCTCAACTTTGGAGCATCTACTAACTTGATAGCTGTCCTTAACAATATTTAGCAGTCCACTCCTAATTACACTGGACCCAGCACTATAACCTTTAGAAATGGAGCCTCCCTTCTTATCACAAATAGTGGCCAAGTACTACTGTCCACACCACTTTCTACTCATAAGCTTATACTTCATAACCTTCTCCATGTCCCCTACATTTCCTATAATCTTCTCTCCATAAACAAACTAACCTTCAATAACTATTGTTCCATTTCCTTCACAAATGCAGTCGTAATGTCTCTATCTAGTGTCATTTTTCAATCATCATACCAATCTTCATATCACTAATAGCTGGTCACTCTTCATACCAATCTTCAATCAAACATTACCCCCACTTGTTACATCCTATCCACCAAATATCTTGAATGGCATGGTGCCATGCAAGGTACCTAGTCTCCAGTCCCGCCACCTCGACATCAACAAATTCTTGCCTGTTGCTAGACTTATAAAACTAAAACAGGCCCAACAACACCATTGATTGTTATAAAGCTCGTTTAGTTGCTCATGGTTTCAAACAAGAATATCGTATTGACTAATTTGAAATATTCAGCATTGTCGCCAAGATGGCAGCCATTAGAATCCTTCTAGACATTGCCCTATACCATTAGTGGCATGTCCTTTCACTGAACGATCAAATACATTTCTCCATGACAAACTTGACGAGGTTGTTTACATGTCCCAATCTCTCGGCTTTATAGACTCTCAACATCCAACACATGTTTGCAAACTCCACAAAACTATTTATTGCTTAAAACAAGCCCCAAGACAACATTCTTTTATCTTCTCCAACTTTCTTCTCTAGCACAGTTCAAGTTCAGCAAATCAAATTCTTCCTTGCTGCTTTACTCCAAAATTTACCTTTTCATTTACATTGATGATATTCTCATCATTGGCAGCCACGTCCCTAAAACCACTACAATCATTAAAGAATTGCAATATCAATTTTCACTCAAAGAACTTGGCCCAATCTCTTTCTTTATCGGTATTTGAGTCACTCCCACCTCTTCTAAATATTTTCTTAATCAAAACCAATATGCCTAGAACCTACCGCATAAATTCGCCCTTGCAAATTTCAAAATAGCCCATTTACCCATCTTTCTTAAGCCACAAAATCAGATGATGATCAATTCTTCACCAATCCTATCCTCTTTCGCAAAAGTGTCAACTCCTAGCAATACTTGACCACAAGTCCGGACATTTCCTTCACCACAAATCAACTCTTTCAGTTCATACATAAATCACTTAACAAACATTTTCAGTAAATCAAATGACTATTTCACTACATCTAAGCAACTACTGATCTTGGCTTGTGGATCACCAAAGGTGATCTCACTCTCTAAACATATTTGGACTTCGATTAGGCCTTCGACCCAACAACAAGCCTTTGCACCACCATGTGGGCTCGACTACATGAATCTTTTTTCTCCATTGTGTTCTATTAATAGTAAAATTTTCATTTAAATCTAATTAAAAAAATATATCATTTATAATATTTTCAAATCAAGTATTTTTAGGTCTACTTTCTTGATACAGGTCATGTGAAACCCCTTAAGTAAAAAAAAATTAACTGTTAAACACCGAGGCGCCTTTTGATGTAATAGTCAAAATTTCATTAAGAAACTCTGCAATTAAGCATGCTCATCCTAGAGAAATCCTGGGATGGGTGACCTCCTACGAAGCTACACCAACATGATAAAGTCGTGAGGTCTTTAGGCCAAAACGTACAATATCTCAATAGTTAAGAGTTTGAATTGTTAGAAATGGTATCCGAGCAATACACCAGTAGGAAGATGGAAACTAAGTGTAATACAAAACAAAGTGTTATGTCATGGGAGCCATTTCTTGAACCCTATATGAGACAAAGTGCAATGTGAAAGGAGTCACCACTTGAACTTGTAATGGTTACCTCTAGAATCCTATATGCATGGTGGATGATTATGAGATAGAGTTGCTAACGAGCATATCAGTTACTTAAATGGGGGAGATTGTGAAACCCATTGAGTAAAAAGAAGCTAAACTCCTAAACATCAATACGCCTTTTAATATAATGATTGAAATTTCATTATGAAAATTCGCAGTTAAGCTTGCTCATCCCAGATAAATCCTAGATGGATGACCTCCTGGAAAGTTACACCAACAGGATAAAACCGTGAGACCCTTAGGCCAAAGCAGACAATACCTCAATAGTTAAGAATTTGGGCAGTTATAGACTAGATCTAATACATCTACTCTCCTAACTGGGTCATTGGAAATCTGACGTTTTATGTGACCAAACCATCTAAGGAGACTCTCTCTAATCTTATCTACCATGAAACTATTCCAACCCTTTCACATATAAATTAGGCCTTCGACCCTACTGATCAACAGCCCACAAAAAGCTACTGTATATTCTTAAGAAACAATCATATTACTTTAAGAGGTAAACGAAAGCCATCTATCGCCAAATCCTTCACTGAGGCCAGATATTGGGCTCTTGCTTTAGCACTACTAAAAGACTTCCATATTACCACTCGCATTGGCACTTCCTTTCACTTTGATAACATATCAACCATGGCTCTAGCAAACAACCCCATATTTCATTCTCGCAAAAAATATATCAAGATTGATTAACACTTTATTCAAGGCTGCATATGCTCCAATGAATTTACCATGCATCACATTGACTCATGCAATCAGCCGTTTGAAATCTTAACCAAGACTCTCTCTCTCCTACCCCTTTCCAACATTTCCAACATCTACATGACAAATTGACAACCGAGCCTTGGATCACAATTTGCAGGGTGGTGCTAAGCACTCTACATATAAGATATGCAAGCATCCCTTTCACTTTTTGTACACCTAAAAACTACTTCTCTGAAGTACGCAACTTTCCCCTACAATTTGCTCTCTGGTTGTCGATCACCAACAGCACAATGGATTTCTACTGTGCCATACCAGCTGCTATTCTACCGTGTCATCAATTGTACAGGACTTGTTTACTTCTTCACTTTATATATGCTATTCTACTACATGTAATATAGTAAACCTCATTATTCAATATAGATTTCATAGTTCTCTATACTCTTCTTTAACATTATTTTAACTGCTGCTGCTGCTGAAATGAATCAGAACATTTTCAGTCATATCAGCCAAAATTAATAAAAATAAAAACATTGTTAGTATAAAAAAACTTACATGAAGATCAACATATCAAAACCAATTCGTATCGGGATTGTGCTAAGGAACTACATAAAAGTTTTCCAAAATCATAGATAGGAAAGTGCAATCCCTTTCACCGTTTCAAAAATTCATTTGTCAATAAAAACCATAACTTTCGCCATTTCAACCAATGTAAAAACTTATCATATATCCAAGGAATGATAACAAAAGCGCAAGCATAAAGAGCAGGTAAATTCAAAATTTCGGCATACAATCTTCTTCAAAAGTAGTTAGGATTACACAGTTGGTTAATTCCATAAAAATTTGTTCGAGTTAAGATTTTCTGCCACACGTTGAAGTTTTATTGCCTTCCACTCCATTGTATTTTAATCCTTTTCTAACACGCGCCTATTTAGATTGTCCTATTCTCTACGGTTTTCAAGCACATATTACAATTAAAGGAAAAGAGAAATCCTAGACAAGAAACGAAGAACGGGCAAGAGATCTTCAAATTAAGGATTGAAACGGCATACCGGTTCTACCGCCGGCGCCGGTTACCAGTACAGTGCTCCGGACAAGGTCCGCCATGGCCGTCGCAGAGAACGCCCCGCAATTCTTATGCACTTTCCGAGGAAGACGCCGATTCCGCAGGGAACAGGATGTAGCGGATCTCTCTAGATGGTCACGAAGATCTGTAGGATAGGATTTTATAGAAGAGGAAAGCGAGACACGTGTCAGTACAGCAATCGTCATAATCCCATGGGCCGGCACGGCGCTGGTGGCTGGTGGGTGCAGTGGCTACTTGGCTTTGGAGCTCGACAGGAGAGTAACTCGTCGACCGCTGGTCACCGGCAATGGTTGCTTTTGCTTTCCGGCGGCAATGCAAGCGATTGGGAGAGCAGAGAACGAGTGGTCTCACATGTCCTCTTCGATGGCCAGATGGCCTTATCCGGTAGCAGGTTCTCGCAGCAATTCTTCTCTAGTCGCACGTAGCTTGTTGATACTGAAGACGACCTACGCGGCCCAGTACAGATGTACATTGCACTAAAGGCCCAGTGTCTAGCATAGGCCGGGCCCATTTAAATAAAAAAATAGAAAGCTAATATTTTGCTTTTGAAAAATTACTTAAATGTTCTACTTATTGAAAATAAATAAATAAATCAGTATATATATTTAATTTTAAGTCTGACATGTCTGCAAATAATTTACTTGATCGAGATAGATTTTGATGCATTATATTTTTTGGAAACTTTTAAAATAAATTCATGAGCCTCACTAAAATCAATCACTTTATGCATATTTAAAAATTTTCATATTTTAACTGAATAAACAAGTGGTCACCAATTTTTGTAGGCTTATTATAGTCAAACTAAGCAACTCAACCTGACAAATTCAATGACCAATCAAACTAAGCAACTCAACATAACAAATCCAATGACCAACTTTTGAATAAATGTTTTATAATCGAAGGAATGCAATAGGTTGGACAATGGGTTGTAATAATTTTTTGGTCAAATTTGTCAAAATATCACTCCCCTTTCTTCACATGAGGGGAGACCTAGACTTGAGACTGGAGAGTGCTTAAATTTTTGTAGAAATCTAAAGCTTTATCCAACATCCAAAGCTGATGATCACTACCAACAAGTTTCGTTGCTCAACTTCCATTGATGACTACTATTGCATGAAAGTCTCTATCCGAACATCACCGCACATTTATTGTAGCTCATTCTACATCAAACAACTATTGTTGTCTGACTAACATAAGATGGTTGTTACCATCATCCACAAACTAAGCTCCTGCAATATCAAATACAAGTATAGGAAATTAGGCAAGAACTTCCAATTTTGTAATATCGTCTTCCTCAATTATAGGAAAAGTAAAGTTCTATAACTTTAAGTATATACTTGATTATATATACTTGGGCGTGTCTTTTAATTTTAAGTTAATAATTATATATAAGACTATATTTCCTAACGAGGAATGTTGCGTCAGATGTCACTATGGGGTTAATTGATCACAAGCATTTAAGATATTTGAGTATTGTAAATATAGGTGTCAATTCGGGTCAACATATCAGGTTTGGGTAGAATCCAACTTGACCAGATAGTAAACGGGTCGACATTAACCCGACTCAATTTTGTAAATAGGTCAGGATTATCAACCCGACCTGTGATGGTTACCAGGCTGACCCGACTCAACTCACAAGGGCTAGAATAAATCATGCACTCGCGGCACAACATGCCCGCCAACTGGCCCTCTGAGTCTGGAATCTCAATCATGCTATAGGAGGCATCTGCGGCTCTACGCTATAGGACGGCGGCAGCACCGACGTGATGCGATAGGAGACAAGACGAAGTCACGGGTCACCCGTCGCCGGGTCATGCCATGGGAGACATGACGCGACGACGCTAAGTCGCTGACAAGACACAGAGACAAGTCATGTGGATGTTACAAAAGGGTCAACCTAAACTAGACCCAATTTTACAAATGTATTGGAATTACAAACCCGAACGCGACCTGTATGACAAATGGATAGACCCGACCCCAAAATTTTCAGGATCGGTTTTTGAGTCGTATCATTCTCTAGTCGCACGTAGATTGTTGATACTGAAGACGACCTGCGCGGCCCAGTACAGATGTACATTGCACTAAAGGCCCAGTGTCTAGCATAGGCCGGGCCCATTTAAATAAAAAAATAGAAAGCTAATATTTCGCTTTTGAAAAATTACTTAAATGTTCAACTTATTGAAAATAAATAAATAAATCAGTATATATATTTAATTTTAAGTCTGACATGTCTGCAAATAATTTACTTGATCGAGATAGATTTTGATGCATTATATTTTTTGGAAACTTTTAAAATAAATTCATGAGCATCACTAAAATCAATCACTTTATGCATATTTAAAAATTTTCGTATTTTAACTGAATAAACAATTATTATAGCCAAACTAAGCAACTCAACCTGACAAATTCAATGACCAATCAAACTAAGCAACTCAACATAACAAATCCAATGACCAACTTTTGAATAAATGTTCTATAATCGAAGGAATGTAATAGGTTGGCCAAGGGGTTGTAATAATTTTTTGGTCAAATTTGTCAAAATATCACTCCCCTTTCTTCGAACTTTTATTTGGTCCGTTGAACGTACGCAACTCTACGTTCGGCCGCTAGTAGAATCGAGCCACGCGTTTTCATTATTTACCGCGCGCCCCGACAACCCGACCCGGAACGGACCCAAAATTGCTCGGTATTGCTAGGTATTGGTCGATTCTGCTCGGCAATAACCAATACCGAGCAAATACCTAGCAATACCGAGCAAATACCTAGTTGTACCGAGTTGTACCGAGTTTTTTCTAGCAATACCGAGCAAATACTGAGTTGTACCGAGTTGTAAAAAAACTCGGTACAACTCGGTATTTGCATGGTATTGGTCTTCACAGAGCGGTATTTCTCATTTTTGCAAAGCAATACCTAGCAAATACCGAGCAATACTGAGAAAATCGCGAAGATAGCATTCCCGGGTTTCGCTCCGGGTCAAGTCGTCGGGTCGCGCGATAAAGAGTAAGAGCACGTGGCAACATAAGATGGTTGTTACCATCATCCACAAACTAAGCTCCTACAATATCAAATACAAGTATAGGAAATTAGGCAAGAACGCCCAATTTTGTAATATCATCTTCTTCAATTATAGGAAGAGTAAAGTTCTATAACTTTAAGTATAAACACTTGATTATATATACTTGGCCGTGTCTTTTAATTTTAAGTTAATAATTATATAAGGCTATATTTCCTAATGAGGAATGTTGCGTTAGATGCCACTATGGGGTTAATTGATCACAAGCAATTAAGATATTTGAGTATTGTAAATATATGTGTCAATTCGGGTCAACAGGACAGGTTTGGGTAGAATCCAACTTATTCCGGTCGTAAACAGTTTGACATTAACCCGATTCGATTTTGCAAACAGGTTAGGATTGTCAACCCGACCTGTGATGGTTACCAGGCTGACCCAACTTGACTTGCATGGGCTAGAATAAATCATGCACTCGCGGCACAACATGCCCGCCAACTTGCCATCTAAGTCTGGACTCTCAATCATGCTATAGGAGGCATCTGCGGCTCTACGCTATAGGACGGCGGCAGCACCGACGTGATGCGATAGGAGACAAGACGCGGTCACGGGTCACCCTTCACCGGGTCATGCCATGGGAGACATGACGCGACGACGCTAAGTCGCTGACAAGACACAAAGACAAGTCATGTGGATGTTACAAAAGGGTCAACCTAAACTCGACCCGGTTTACAAATGTGTTGGAATTGCAAACCCGAACGCGACTTGTATGACAAATGGATAAACCCGACCCCAAAATTTTTAGGATCGGTTTTTGAGTCGTATCAGATTTTGACACCCCTAATTATAAATATAATGTAAATTGAATAGTGTATATTTTAGTTAGGTTGTTTGATTGATATTAAAATAACCTCATGAAAGTCTTGTTATTTTTAATAGTCGGTTTGTTGAAGAACTCTCACTTGATTTCAATTTAGGGCACAGCAGTGATAGCAGCTATGCATGACATGGATAATAGGAAAGGCTTGGATGGAGTCAACGGAGGTCGCTGATACCTACTCGGGATTGTTGGCTTGGAAAGAGCAAGGTTTTGCAAGTGAGGTTTTACTAGCTATTCCACAAATCCAATTCGACAAGTAAGGAATTAGAATTCATCCAATTTGGCTGATTTTTAAATTCCTCAAGCATAAATAATATGCGTTTTTCCCCAACATAATCTCAGCATTCCTTTTTACAAGAAGTTATATTAAGATGCCATCATATTGTAACACAAATGATCCATGTGAGACATGAATTCAAATTCCACCCTAGTCATTATATCCAAACATTTCATGGTACTTAAACACCTTTGAGGGACCGTTTGGGACTGTTACAATTTTTATAAAGATGACTGTAAAGTTGCTGAAGAGAAAACATCATTTTTAAAAACTTGTAGTAAAAACTAAAAAACATATTCCTAGTACAAAATTTATTGAGAACGATAAAAAATCAGTGGCCAAACAAAAAATGTGATTACAACCCAAAAAGTAAAACTGTACAAGAAAGTTATCCGAAATGAAGCCCGACATAACTGGTCGCAAACATGCATTGCTTATTGAATGCATGTGATATTCACTTAATTAAAAAACTCCAACTCCGACCATTGTCGCTCACCGACTACGATCCATTCTACCTTTGTCGCATGCAGACTATGGTTCCTCCGACCACCATCGTCTGTTGAATAAAGTTTCTCTAATCACCATCGCCCGCTAACCACGGTATTTTCGACAACCGTCGCTTGCCGACCACATTCCCACCGACCATCATCGCCCTCCGACCACGGTCCCACTGACCACTATCGCCCGCCCACCATGATCCCTCCAACCATTATTATTCGTCGACTACAATCCCTCCAACTATTATTATTCTGCCCACTACAGTCCCACTGACCACCGTCGCCCACCGACTACGGTTCCTCTAACCACCGTCACCCTCCGACTACAGTCCATCCAACCATCGTTGCCCTTCGACAATGGTTCCTTCGACCATCGTCTCCTGCCGACTACGGTCCCTTCGACCTTCGTCACTTTCCGACTACAATCCTTTCAACCTCCGTTGCCCGTCGATTACGATTCCTCTAACCACCGTTGCCTGACTAATGTTCTTTCGTCCTCTGTTGCCCGCCGGCTACTGTCCCTCTGATTACTGTCGTCCAACTAAGGTTCTATCGATTGAATGAAAAGACAAACACTATCTTAAGAACAATTCTCATAGCATTAGATTCTTTAAACTCCCATCATATAATGTGCTATGTACAATGTATATTTGATACATCGAGATAAGGCCTTCCCCCAAGGAAGTGCCTCATTTGTAATTAACAATAAACAATATAATCATTTTAA